AGGAACATGAACCATCAGCTCACATCGTGTTTTTTACCATCAGCACCAATACAACAGTCAGTCAAAGACAATGAGCGATGTCATCATTGACCGTCATGGAAACAACACTTTAAACAAGCATGACCATTTCTGTGATTCATAATTAAGAACTTACTCTGGGTCATAAGAACAATGTCTTTGTTTGAAGTTCATAATAACATCTTTAGACCGATCACTCTTCATGGACACACAGCTGGGTGCAGGTCCAGATCCAGGTCCAGGTCCATCTTCTGGGTCCTCAGCCTGATTCATAGCAGAGTCCACACCTTCACAACCACCTGCTGGGAGAACTCACACATTATGATCCTCATCAGGACAAACACACAGAGCTCATTCACCTCAACGCTAAAACTCTCATGGGACACTTTGTGTTGTCTATCCGTTAAAGTTTAGACTTCTGGAAGAAGCTGAAGGACTGAAGCTGCAGCCGGTTGATATGTGTGACCACAGCGTGCAGAGAAGCTTGTGTGTGTGGTTTTACAAACAGCAGAGACAATCAGCACACTGTTAATACTGAACAGGAATAACGATCAACAACTGCAGCCGACTATTAGTGCACATCACCTGATCCACGGCTCTCCCAGCGTTACATCCCACTGGTCTCTAGACTTGAGCAGCACATTACAGCCACATAGGAAGACATTTACCCAGAATGCATCGGAGCAGGCTCATTACACGTTGTTTAGCTGACGCGGTTATGAAAGCGACTTACAATAAGTGCATTTCAGCCATAAGGATACAAACTGCAAAGAACAAGAAACATTTAATTTGATTGATTGACAACTGGCTATAAGAGCCATTATAAGTACATTGGCTCTACAAGTCCTACAGTTTGTTAGTCTTTTTATCATAGATGTTAAATACTATGCCAAGCACTAATGTCATCTATCTTACGGTATGTAGCCTCATTGATCACTATATTTTATACATGAAATACAATGAGGTTAATCACTATTAATTTAGACACACAGAAGAGGTTTGGGTACATCGACAATTTAATTTATAGTGATGTTTGTGCAGTTAACTGTACAAGACTCACTACACTGATTATTGTGTATTATTGTACTGATTATCTTGATGTTTGAGTAACAAGAAAACAAACTGTAGGCGTGTAAGTGGAATGTGTTACTATCCAGTAAAATATGAACTCTTTGTTGTTACTGTATTCAACCTCCTCTTAATTTATGAAACTATTATAAAAGGTAATGCAGTTCCTGATTCCTGATGTAATACAAAAGCCCTGAATGAAATGTTCACCTTCAACTTTTTGTGTTTCTTTCATCCAATATTATTAATACATATGCTCCTCTTCATCTGCTTTAAAAAGATGTTGGACTGTATAGCAACTCCGATCTGATCCATTGAGATGTTTTGCCTAATTATTATGACTGTATATATATAAATCATTTACTCTGGTGCTCCATTTCATATATGCAATTTCTCATTTTAAATCAAAACGAAACGCTTCATAGTAGTATAATACTACAACTATTAAAATGTATTAGCAAGACCAGCTGACGTCATCAAGTCAGCTGCTGTTCCAATTGCGGAAATGACCGTTCTCTGTTCTCGCCGAACTAGTGAAGTTCGGATCATTTTACCGACTCGGTTCAGTAAAATGAACAAATCTATTTTCGAGTTTCAGGTTGATATTTGGCTGTTTTGATCAACCGGGTTGAAATCCAGGTTGTTCCGATCTCTCCTTTAATATGTTTTTTTATGTAAATGTGTTCATACGTGGCTGTGACGTGGTGCTCACTCATACAATCGTAAACGCCGCAATGGATTTGTGATGCGTTTTGAAGATTTTCAGCAATATGTTTGTGAATGTGTGACGAATCAGGGAACTGAGGCGGACACATCTGCAGCTGTGGAGTGAACACAAACACGCACGCGTAGGGAAACCAGTGGGTGGAGAAACCAGTGGGTGTAACACGGGCTGCTGGTCCGCCTGACGCAGCGCTGGACGCCGCAGTCATCCAGACGCGCTCCCTGCAGGAGTCGCTGACATTCAAGCCGTGTGCGGCGACGGATGACGTCACGAACCCGAACACGACACCGTTTGCGGTTCCGAAATATATTTAAAAGAGAGATAGCTAGATAGATAGATAAAAGAGAGATAAACATCGGTCGTTTTTGGTTTAAAATTAAAAACGAACAAACCACGTTATTTCCGTATTTCCGGTTAAACGGTAAAGGCAACGTTCAAACGGTTCACGGCCCGTTAAGCACACAAACACACACTAAAGCAGTGGTCCGTGAGGTAAAAACAGGTTGGGGACCAGTGCACTAAAAACACACCGTGTATCACGGACATACTCACGGGATCTGAACACTTTAAAGTGACGTTAAAGTGAAAACTTTCTGCGACGTCCCGTCCTTCTTCTTCCTCTTTCGCTTCCTCTTCTTCTTCTTGTTGTTATCGGCGGTAGATGATCAATAATCGGCGCGTTACTATGGCGTTATATTTGTGCCACAATCCCGAGCGCGTAATTGTAAGTTTTGAGCACAGAGAACTATATTTTAGCAAAGAAAAACATATTCCGTGCGCGCAGTTTACTGAGGTGCCCTCGCCACAAACTGGTTTTCTGCGCGCAGGCAGCGGTTGCTGCGCTCGCTCCACCTCTTCACGCTGCGCTCGCTCGACGGTTCACTCACGCGCTCGCTCGACTTGCAGCAGCGTTACATTTGTGCCACAAAACCAACCAATCAGAGAATTAAAGAAGGTCCACAACGCTTCCTAAAGAAGACGAAAACGAGTGATATTAGAAGTCCGACTAGCCACCATCAGACATGACCGAAGCAAATGATGAGAACAGCAAGTGTTTTAATCCAGGCCATTAGCATTTAGCACAAATGCTGCAAACTTCAACAACTCGCTGAGCTTCCGCGATGCTGTAGGTAGTTCTACTAGCGTTGTGATTGGAGACCAACAGCCAATCACAATGGACCTTCTTTAATTCTCTGATTGGTTAACATGAATGAATGTGAGATATTGAAATCATTTAGGATAACACTCACTGTCTGAGTTCATTTGCATAATGTCCACCAGGCACGTGCACAGGTAGACCTGCCCTTTTGTTTGGGTTGAATACTTTTTATAGTAATATGTTGGAAATGTGTTTTAAGCTGCTACATGCATAGACTGCCGGGGGACTTCTTAGGACACACCGAGCTCCTCTCTCTCTCTCCTACAATAATCCATGTTTTTTTTAATGCACATCACTAATTCAGCTTCTTTCCTGGAGTTTTTTTGTGCTTTCTCGCCTCGAAGGTCTCCGTAGATCCTAGTTCCGTCTGGACCCTGGTCCTGACTCCTGCCTGGCCCCGTGGACACCTACCGCCTCCAACACCATTGATGTTCCCATTTCTATTGCTGTAAACATGTAATGTGTATCACTAACTTTGTTTCTTCCGCGGAGTATTTGTGCTTTCTCGCCTCACAGGTTTCCATGGATCATGGTTCTATCTGGACTCTGTTGCTGCTTCCGACCGTGACCCTGCTTATTATTTAAAATAATAATAATAATGATGATGATAACAGCAGCAGGTGTTGCTGTTATCATCATCATTATTATTATTATTATTTTAAATATGAATCATATTACTATTGCTGTCATCATAAACAAATATTACCCTCCACTAAAGTCTTTGTGCTCTCCCTCCCGGCTTCTGTGGATGGTGGTTCTATGTGATGGTGGTTCTAACTGATGGTGGTTGTATCTGATGGTGGTTCTAACTGATGGTGGTTGTATCTGATGGTGGTTCTATGTGATGGTTGTTCTTACTGATGGTGGTTGTATCTGATGGTGGTTCTAACTGATGGTGGTTCTAACGGATGGTGGTTCTATCTGATGGTGGTTCTAACTGATGGTGGTTCTATCTGATGGTGGTTCTAACTGATGGTGGTTCTATCTGATGGTGGTTCTAACTGATGGTGGTTGTATCTGATGGTGGTTCTAACTGATGGTGGTTGTATCTGATGGTGGTTCTAACTGATGGTGGTTGTATCTGATGGTGGTTGTATGTGATGGTTGTTCTTACTGATGGTGGTTGTATGTGATGGTGGTTGTATCTGATGGTGGTTCTAACGGATGGTGGTTGTATGTGATGGTGGTTCTATCTGATGGTGGTTCTAACTGATGGTGGTTTTATGTGATGGTGGTTCTATCTGATGGTGGTTGTCCCTGCAGTGGTCCTACCGTACACCTGCTTACTACTGGCAATTATTTGAATACTTTCTGTTATAGGAACTGCATGTATTGTGCATCTTTTACATCAGTGGTCTTCAACGTTTTTCAGGCCAAGGTCCCCCAAACTGATGGCGAGATGGAGTTTGGTCCGCCATCTTTTATTTTTGAGCTTGAATGAATGGATCTTTGGCTGGGGCCTGTGATGTCGTATCAGCATAAAGAAGCTGTGAGTGAACCGGTGTCCAGCTTGAAAGAGCTGCTGGTGGACTGAAAGACAACGTCTCCTCCATCCATTTATCCGTTCGCTACAATATGTTGGATTCATGTTAATGTGTATTTAAAGATGCAAAATACAATTCTGATGCTGAAGACATTTCTATTTGTAGAAAAAAAATGGTTGAAAAAAATTTGTCTTATCAACCAAAAATTCCGCGACTCCCCTGCAGAACCTCCACGGACCTCTCAACCACGGAGGTTGAAGACCTCTGATTTACATTGTTCATTCTGCACACATGACATCCATTGTAGTCCGTCCATCCCGGGAGAGGGAGCCTCCTCTGACGTTCCCCATGGGAGGGTTTTTTGCATGTGCAGAGACTGTAAAGTCATCTGAGGCTAATTTGTGATTTTGGGGCTTAACAAAATAAAATCAATTGAATTGAATTACACGCATCACACGTTGCGACGATGCAGGAGAAAAGTGCTGCATGGTTTTGAGCACCGCGAAAACGCGAGAGAGTGATACATCTCTCTCTCTCTCGCCCCACACGCGATCTCTGCTTCGCCGCACTACGCCCTTGAGTTCCGCCCCAAACGGGAAATGACGCCGGCGCAGAAAATGGCGTCCGCGGAGCCCGTGGACCGCTGCGGTCTGTCGTCCCGTGTAATTTAGAAGCCGAGCGCGCGGGTCTCTGCGCCTGGCAGGTGGACGACACCATGGCGGTGCGCCGCCGCCGCCGCCCCCGTCCCTCGACTGCGGAGTGAGAAACCCGCCGCTTCATGTCCGAAGGAGCCGGAGCCGCCTGGTCGAAGAGGGGCTGCGGGGATTCGCACCGCCGAGGTGAGACTGCTGGATTGTTAGCAGCTAAAGCTACGAGCGGTTACCCCCCCCCCCCCATACACACACACACACACACACACACACACACACACACACACACACCCCCCGCCCCCCTCCACTGAGAACCGTGTCAGTAAGCGCAGCTAGCCAGCTAGCTTAGCGGTGCAGTGGACGTGATTAGCTTGAATGCACGTGCAGCACGAGCCTTTGTTTTGGGGGCTCTTGTCGTCTCAGGCACCGCGGAGCAAACTTCCATTTGACGTAGTTTAACTCCCACTAAAGGGGGGGCGGGGGGGCTGTTTCTAAACCGGTGGTGCTGCGCTCGCCGCTGTGCCCCCTGTTAGCTAGCGTTAGCCTGTAGCATCGCTCTCCGCTCCTCCTGTCGTCGCTGTAAACAAACGTGTGTTGTCTGTTGTGAGTGACGGTCACAGACCAGCTGTTCACCGACAGGTAACTAAACCCGCTTCAGGTCCGCGGGAGATGATTTATCTTCATGCAGAACCGCACTGAGCACATCCCCCTAAGTCAACTTTACACTGTAATGTGGATTCGTGCCGGAAGAATCGTTTAGTTTAGATGTTTGTTTGTCAATGCAGCCTGGTTAGAGCCCACATACTTGTTTGTTACTTGTTCACCGCCTCTGTTTGAGCGTGTTGGCAAACCTTGAGATTTTACGGCTGCTGATTCAATAAAGATAATCAGATCTGTGACAGTTACGCTGTTTATCGATTAGTCAACAGAACAGAAAGTTCATTTGTAAGAATCAATTAGTTGTTTCTGTTATTTATAAACATAAATACCAAACATTTGGTGTTTTTATTCGTTGTGATATGATCAATAGTATAATAAAGAGAGAGTTCACTAAATAAGACATTCAGAACATACGTCTTTTGGCAGATTAGTGAATGGAACAATCAGACTTATAACGAGGTTACGTGAAAGTCTCACGGCTGTGACAGTTCTGTCTATTAGAGTAGTTTATGTTATTCTACATATTTTAACTAATCTAATTAACATACAGACAGAACTGTCTGTATGTTAATTAGATTAGTTAAAATATGTAGAATAACATAAACCCTTGAATTAATTGCCACAAATTGGTCTTAAAGCTGCATTCTCTGTAGTGACCAGCAGGGGGCGACTCCTCTGCTCCCATAGACGTCTATGAGGAAATGACTCTACTTCTCTGTAGTGACCAGCAGGGGGCGACTCCTCTGCTCCCATAGACGTCTATGAGGAAATGACTCTACTTCTCTGTAGTGACCAGCAGGGGGCGACTCCTCTGCTCCCATAGACGTCTATGAGGAAATGACTCTACTTCTCTGTAGTGACCAGCAGGGGGCGACTCCTCTGCTCCCATAGACGTCTATGAGGAAATGACTCTACTTCTCTGTAGTGACCAGCAGGGGGCGACTCCTCTGCTCCCATAGACGTCTATGAGGAAATGACTCTACTTCTCTGTAGTGACCAGCAGGGGGCGACTCCTCTGCTCCCATAGACGTCTATGAGGAAATGACTCTACTTCTCTGTAGTGACCAGCAGGGGGCGACTCCTCTGCTCCCATAGACGTCTATGAGGAAATGACTCTACTTCTCTGTAGTGACCAGCAGGGGGCGACTCCTCTGCTCCCATAGACGTCTATGAGGAAATGACTCTACTTCTCTCTTGATTTATTCCCTCAGTAAACATTGTAAACATGAGTTTATGGTCTCAGTCTCTAGTTTCAGGTCTTCTTCAATACAGATGATGTTCATTTAGTAGATTATGGTCCATGTCGAGCTATTAGTCGAGGACAGTTCTGGACCACTAAAGAATAAGTTATTATATAGTTTCTCTTGCAACCCCCTGGACATGCCTGTGCACATTGGTTTTACTTCTGCTGCGCCCCTCGGGGGTTCTTCTTGTCTCCTCTGTTAGAACCAGGGAAACATAAACACAGGAAATGCGAGCAGCCCCTTAGCGCTCAGCCGCCGAACCCTGCGACCGTTCCCCCGGGTTCCAAAAGGTAGGTTTTTGAGCTCTTCCTTACCCGCCGTTGCCCTCTCTGTCCCTCTTATTGGCCGCTGTGATTGATTGTCCTGCACTGAACAGTTTGCAGGCTTCGTGCTGTGACGTGGCGGTTGTCTTGGCTTTGTCGTCCAGGTGATTGTCGCTCAGAAAAGGGACATTGTTAGCGTCTCCCGGACACAAGGGCACTGTCCTCTGATTGGCTCGGACAACCCCCCTCTGACATGCCCGTGGCCAATCAGAGGTGAGTGTGCTGTGTGTGTGTTTTCACCTGTGAATGAGTGACTGTAGGTGGATGGAGGCGTACAGATGATGTGTTTTCTTCTTGTAAAGTTTGTTTGGTCTCACGCTGAAGAAACTGGATGACGATGCAGGATTTATATCCTTGTACTTTTATATTTATATTTTATTTCTGAATAGTTTATGTTCAGACCAGACATCTTCAGTGTTGTGTGTACACATGTATTATACATCCACCGACCTCCTCTCCTTCGCTCCCGCTCTTTCCTCTCCGTCATGCCTCCAGGTGTGTTATGTCGGGGGCAGATGTGGAGGTGTACCTGTCCCAGGTGCACGATGGGAGCGTGTCGTCGGGCTTCCGGGCGCTGTACGAGGAGCGTCTGCTGCTGGACGTCACCCTGCTGATCGAGGAGCATCACTTCCAGGTAGGATTCTCTCCGTGGACATTGCGGAGCCGCGCGTTGGACCTCGTCCTGTAAACTGGTCTCCGTGCCTCCTGCAGGCCCACAAGGCGCTGCTGGCCACACAGAGCGACTACTTCCGCGTCATGTTCACAGCCGACATGAGGGAGAGGGACCAGGACAAGATCCACATGAAGGGGCTGACGGCGGCCGGGTTCGGCCACATCCTGCGGTTCATGTACTACGGCTCGCTGGAGCTCAGCATGCCCACCGTCCAGGAGATCCTGCAGGTGTCTCTTTGCGACGTGACGACTCCAGAAGCAGATTGCAAAAAAAAAACCACCTCCCGCGCGTTAACCTCCTCTGCTTTCCTCCCCCTCTGCTCTTCTGTCCCCGGCAGGCGGCCATGTACGTGCAGCTGACGGAGGCGGTGGAGTTCTGCTGCTCCTTCCTGCTGGCCAAGATCTGCCTGGAGAACTGTGCCGAGGTCATGCGCCTCCTGGAGGACTTCAGCGTGGGCGTGGAGGGCGTCCAGGAGCAGCTCGACAACTTCCTGCTCGACAACTTCGTCCCCCTCATGAGCCGGCCCGACTTCCTGTCCTACCTCAGCCTGGAGAGACTGCAGGTCCGCCCCTCGTTTGTGTTAAAAATAATGTCTCGAGTTTCACGTCTCGGTGACGTTTGGCCTGCAGGTCTTTAATAATGAATCATCAGTTGGGTAAACGTGACCTCTGAAGGTTCCCCCCCCTCGATACTCAGGCGTACCTGAACAGCGACGCTCTGAGCCGCTTCCCGGAGATCGAGCTGTACGAATCCGTCCAGTCGTGGCTGCGACACGACCGGCGGCGGTGGAGGCACACCGACACCATCGTGCAGTCCGTCCGCTTCTGCCTCATGACCCCGGCCAACATCTTTGAGAAGGTGGGCGTCGCTCTCCCCCTTAAACTTGATTTTTTATTTATTTATTTTTACTCCTTTTTACCGCGACGCCGCTGCTCTGTCTTCCTCGCAGGTGAAGACGTCGGAGTTCTACCGGTACTCCCGGCAGCTGAGGCAGGAGGTGGATCAGGCGCTCGGCTACTTCCACGACGTCAACCAGCAGCCTCTGGTGGAGACGCGCTCCAACCGCATCCGCTCCGTCCGCCCGCAGACCGCCGTCTTCAGGGGGATGATCGGCCACAGCATGGTCAACAGCAAGATCCTCCTGCTGCAGCGCCCCAAGGTGCCGCCCTCGGGTTGGTTCGGCCCGCCGGCCCGCAGCAGCTCAGTAAGCCGGGCCCTTGTCTTTCCCCAGGTGTGGTGGGAGCTGGAGGGGCCTCAGGTGCCGCTGCGACCCGACTGCCTCGCCATCCTCAACAACTTTGCCTTCCTGCTGGGCGGCGAGGAGCTGGGCCCCGACGGGGAGTTCCACGCCTCCTCCAAAGTCTACCGCTACGACCCGCGACAGAACTCGTGGCTCCGCATGGCCGACATGTCGGTGCCCAGGTGAGTTCTAGCGGTGTCGTGGTGTGTTCACATGTAGGCTGTAAAAGCGAGCGTTTGTATGCGTTTTCGTTTTCTGATACTGAAACTTTAAAAACATCGATCTGTAGGTTAAAAGAGGCTTTTGTGGCTTTTGTCGTCTGCAGGTCCGAGTTCGCCGTCGGCGTCATCGGCAAGTTCATCTACGCCGTGGCGGGACGCACGCGGGACGAGACCTTCTACTCCACGGAGCGCTATGACATCACGGAGGACCGCTGGGAGTTCGTGGACCCGTATCCCGTCAACAAGTACGGCCACGAGGGGACGGTGCTCGGCGGCAAGCTCTACATCACCGGCGGCATCACCTCCTCCTCCACCTCCAAACAGGTGTGCGTGTTCGACCCGGGGCGGGAGGCGGGAGGAGGAGGCGGCGGCGGCGGGGGAGGCGGGTCGGACGCACACAGGACACGCGCCGGCCGCGGCCCGCCGCCGCCCGGCTCCCACGCCTCCTGCTGGGAGAACAAATCCAAAATGAACTACGCGCGCTGCTTCCACAAGATGATCTCCCACAACGGGAAGCTGTACGTGTTCGGGGGCGTGTGCGTCATCCTGCGGGCGTCCTTCGAGTCGCAGGGCTGCCCGTCCACCGAGGTGTACGACCCCGACGCGGACGAGTGGACCATCCTGGCCTCCATGCCCATCGGCCGCAGCGGCCACGGGGTGGCGGTGCTGGACCGGCAGATCATGGTGCTGGGCGGCTTGTGCTACAACGGCCACTACAGTGACTCCATCCTCACCTTCGACCCCGACGAGAACAAGTGGAAGGAGGACGAGTATCCCAGGATGCCTTGCAAACTGGACGGTCTGCAGGTGTGCAGCCTGCACTTCCCGGAGTACGTGCTGGAGCACGTCAGGCGCTGCAGCTGAGGGCGGCTCCCAGCAGCGAGCCGCCGCTTTTTGTTTTATCGCCACGGGGGAAACGCGCCCTTCGAGGACTGAAGTCGCTCAGAGATCAGGTGTTTCGCAGGCGGGGGCCGAGGGGGGGGGGGGCTTTTGAAAAGAGACGAGTCCAGCAGCACTCGGGGAGACGCGCCCCGCGCCGCACTGTTCTCAATGAAGCCCATCGAAGACGCCGCGTACGTTCGCTCCAGCGTTCTCAGAATCCGCTTCTCAGATAATTGAAGGGCGGAGAAACGTTTTAAAATCTCCTCTAGTCACCTTCTGTATTTCAGCTTCTGGCAGAAACGCACTGGAAGCAAACTAACTGCACACGGTGATCTATTTAAAGTTGCTTTTATGGAGAAATAGATTAAAGTCTATTTCAAACAAACACGCCCTTTAAGATCCAAAACTACTGGAACGGTGCAGCAAATTCCTTTATTTGTGTTGTTCACTGAAGACATTTGGGTTCAAGATCAAAAGATGAGTACGAGACAAGAGTTCAGAATTTCAGCTTTTATTTCCTGGTATTCACATCTGGATGTGTTTTTTTTTTTTTCAAGTATTGGAACATGTGACTGACAGGTGTTTCGTGTTGCCTTTTAGGTTGGTTGTCCAAACATTTAATAGCTCTGCATGACTTTTCACCCTCGGTTCAAACACATCAAGGCTGCATTTCCTGTTAAAGAGGATAAACCAACATGAAGACCAGAGCGCTGCCTGGGGGAGAAAAGAAGGAAAGTCGATCAGAGTCATTGGGAAAAGCAAGCACAACAATTTGGAATGTCCTGAAAAAGAAAGAAACTACTGAGTAACAGATGTCGAACAGGTCGAACAAGGAAAACAACAGTAGTTGATGACAGAAGTATCGTGAGAGCTGTGAAGAAAACATCAGTAAGTGACATCACACAGTGCAGAGGTGAAGGAATCACAATCCACCGTTCGGAGAAGACTCAGAGAGCAGAAATATGGAGGCCGCACCTCATGATGCAAACCACTCCTCAGCAGTCACAATCCAAAGAAGTACAGAGATGAGCCGCAAAAGTTCTGGAACACAAGCTTATGGACCGATGAGACCAAGATGAATCTCTACCAAAGTGATGGGAAGTGTGGAGAAAGAAAGGAACTGCTTATGATCCGAAGCATACAAGCTCATCTGTGACGCATGGTGGAGGAAACGTCATGGCTGCTTCTGGAACAGGCGCAGGCAGCAGCAGAATGAATTCAGAAGTTTACAGAAACATTTCGTCTGCCAATTTAGGGAGAAATGCCTTGAAACTAAACGGGAGGAAGTTGATGATGCAGCAGGACAACGACCCAAAGCACATTGCCAACAAAACAAAGGACTTCATCAGAGGAAAAGGTGACTTGGCCAGTCTGCAACCTTCCAATCACCTGACCTTCAGCCAATAGAGCAGGCACTTCACCGCCGCAAGAGGAGACGCCCCGAAACAAACAACTAAAAGAAGCTGCGGTAAAAGCCTGGAACAGTTTGGTGACCAAATACTAAACGTTATTTACTTTAAGATGATTTGTTCCAATACTTTTGCTCATTTGAAAAATGGGTGGGTTCAAACAAAGGGGGGGATGTCGTGAGTTGTTTAACACATCCAAATGTGAATACCAGGAAATAAAAGCTGAAATTCTTTTGATTTAAACCCAAATGTCTTCAGTGAACAACACAAAAAAAGGAATTTGCTTTACCGTTCCAATACGTTTGGAGGGGACTGTATGTTGAATTATGCCATCGGGTATATAAACAAGTCAACACTATTTATTCCAGTGTCTACTACTACTAGTAGTACTAGTACTTTTCCACATGAATACAAACAGTCCAGAGGGATTAAACGGATTCTTTTACCTCGCTAACGCGAGCTGCTTCTTCCAGTGCGTTCCAGCGTTTAGTCCCAATTCTGCTCTTTACGGATATCATCCTCCTGTGCTCATGTTCCAATGATGTGTGTGTGTGTGTGTGAGGTAGTGGGCTGAATCCAACTTAACTCACGGTACACGGGTGCATTTATTTATTCATTCATTCATTCATTCATGCGGCATTGACATCCCGGTAGTGGTGTCTTTTATTTTGGCGATAACAGGAAGCGGCTGTGAATGCGTCACTGGCAGTGCTTTAAAGCTCCTCTACATTCCCTGCACTTTATTGTTGTTGTTGTTATGGGATGCTGTGGTGGCTCTACGTGCACACTGTTACCAGCACTCGAAGCAGCTGCAGTATTAAACGCTCGGCGTGTCTGAAATGAAACCTGCCTGATGGGATCAGCTGTGAGTCGTGGAATAAACGCTGGGCTTCGTGCAGGAACCTCCTCGTGTTCTCATCCCAAACTTCTCCCACCAGTCGGACTCTAAACTCTCTTTAGGCCGCAATATTTCATCCGTTGATATTTTCCTCCATTTGTTTTAAAGGTTTCATTCACAAAAAAACTCCCAAATATATTTACAATATTTTAGATCCATCAGTTTCTGGGAAAGACGCTTTTCAATGGACCTGAAGCAGGTAAATGTTCTCAGTGAACACCAATAAGATGAAAATTCACCTCATTCACCTTTTTTATATTGCAATAAACGCAGCTGATAGTGAGACGTTCTCCATAACTACTGAACTATATCCACTTTTTGAGGGAACCTCGCGGGAACTATTTTCTATTTCTATATTTATTTTGGTTTTCATCACCTGTCAGCTGGGTTCATTTCAGACATTTAAAAAGTGCCCCGTTCAGGCCGGGTTGGTTCCTCATGTTCGGCGCCTCGTTACCGGGCCGACGGCCCCGAGCTCCACGTATTTATTTCGTTCTCCGTGAGCTGTGAACGCAGGCTCCTCAGCCTGTTTGTGTTTTTAAGTTATGAATTCTTCTTTTTTTTTTTCATTATTTATTACCTGAACGTCCCGTCGAGCCGTCGTCTTTCTTTGGAACCGTTTTTTAATTTTTCCTCTCGAGAGATTTCTGGAGGGACGGAAGGTTTTTATTCACGTCTCCAGAAACTTCACATTCGACTGAATTCAAATCCACAAAAGATGATTTTCTCTCTTAAATACGAACGTTTCCAGCAGACCTGAGAGCTTCACCACGTGTCCTCCTGTCTCCATGCGTCCTTTGGTCGCCATAGTTACCATGTTGGAATGCTACGGCTGCAGACCTCTGCACACATTCTGTTTTTAAAGGGGGGGTTAAAACAAATGTTTTCAGGAAATGAATTGGACCTGCAATAAATGATCTTAATCAATCGATTGATTAGCCAGTAACGTCTCAATAGTGAAGAATAAACCAGACGCCTTCAAATGTTTGTTCAACTTGTTGGACCCAACAGACGTTTATTTCTCAGATCAAAAACCTGTTGAGCAGCTAAACGAGGAACTCAAAGGGGATTCAGATATCTTCATTCCTGTTTTTTCCAGCTTGAAAAGCTTTCCGGCCCCTCGAGCAGTTCTCTCCGTTTGATGATCCTGTTTTTTGCACTTTTGTTTTCCTGGTGGACCTCAGGAGGAAGACGCGAGGTCCTTCACGTCTCTCATGGACATCTCACCTGCTGCTCCTCCTTCCTCTCATGTCGCTGTTTAAACGAAACGTGTAACCAATAAAGTACTACTGTCCTGATTTATGGCACACAGCGTCCGTTAGTCCCCGGTCTTCAGTCTGTCCGTAGGAAAACAGAGTAGAGGATTTAAAAAAATGACGAAACATACCTTGCTGCAACGACTGTATCTGAAAAAGAAAGTAAAATCAGATTAATATACCGTATAATCTGAGTAGAAACTCTTTGGAAACGATTTGTAACTTCTTTCCAGAAATAAATGTTCATATTGTCAAATTTCATATGACTGCTGAGTGATTTTGTTTGTGCCTTCCTCAATGTGATTCTATATTATTCACAGGCCATGAACCCAATGGATTTGTTTTTATATTTTACCCGTATATCCCTGCACAAAGAAATGCATTTAAAATGTAAAGGCTCAAAGCATTGCTGTAAATAGTGACAACTAGAGCTGCTTCTAATGCTAATTTTATGTTGATTAATTGTTAATGATTACTTGAGTTATTGGCTTATTTAGTATTTCACAGTGAAGCAGAAATAAATAATAAAAAATGAATGCATTAAAAATCAGCCTTTTGCATATTGTGTACTTATACTTTTATACTTTTAAAGATTCTGAGTATTTCTCCACTCTCCACATATTGCTGCATAGGATTAAATATAGAGGATAACACTAGATCTTGACCATGACTTTAAAATGCTTTTGCATCGACTGCGTTGATGTTTTTAGTTACCGATGCGCATGCGCCGTTTAGTTTGAAACCCCTCCGGGTTTCCGTAGAAAAGCGAAGGTCTCCTCGGATGAGAATGTCTTATCTGAAACTGGTAACTATTTTGTATAATTTGTCATCTTCGTTATTATTTGTTTCCTAGTATTTAGCTGGAGTTTAGTAAAGCGTGTGTTTATGTGTTTATTATCTGAAATCATAAAACCCAATGACTCAAATGTTGCTAAATTAGTCATTAGCCAATGTTAGCATGTCTTCAGCTAGCTTGTGTAGCTAACGGCGTCAGTCAAACAAGTGCTCCGTCTTCCTTGTATTTAAGCCAACGTTACAATATACTAGTGATTTACCTCCCACGGTACCTACGCTGTTAACTACCGCGTTATAACTGACATTCAAGCCTCACTTACCGCTTCATTAGTTAGCTTTAACGCTATCTGACGGCCGGGTGTGCTTCCGGCGCGCCGCCAGGTGTCGCTGTGTGTCGCAGCTCCCGGTGTGACGCTGCTGCCGGCGGCCGGAGAGCCGAAGAAGAAGAGCTGTCAGCCCGCTCTGAGCATCGATGAGGTGGGTTGATCGATAACTGACCGGTCATGTGGAACAACTAATTTTCCAACTCCAATGTGGAATCTGACTTAACATTTATTCAATAAGACAGAGAACACAATTGTGTGTTTAATGTTTATTTTGGTGTGTGTAATGCTGTCTGTAGTTTTAGTTAAATCCAAAATATCCGAGCATCCGATTATGTATAATTATTGAAAACTAATTGATCATCTCAGAGTGTGTTTTTTGTTTACGCCGCCAGTGTTGTTGTCAAATCTTAAAATCCATTCCAGAATACAAGCAGATCATGGTCTTTTTATTTGATAATTTGTAAGTTTGTATCTTGTAAACTTGATTCCCATAACGGCGGGTATAGAAAACAAATATAAAATGATGTAGTATGAAGTTGCCTTCATATCTGCATTGACTATTTAGGATATTTGTCCTTTGTGAAAATAGTAAACATCATAAATTACATTTGATTTCAAGAAAGGGAAAAATTTCGGAAGATATTATTTTTGGGGAATTGAAAGATTCTTTGTTAAGAAAAAAAATAATACACTTATCTTTTTATTAATTTATTCCATTAAAACGTTCAAGAATAAAAATTGACATGTTGCAAATGATCCTGAATGTTTCAATGAGAATTATTTCTTATAAATAGCGTCTTGCTGAGTCGGCCTGAAATCAGTTGTGGTTCTTTTGGTTTCTCGCTTCCAGCTGCCGTCGCTGTACTGCGTCCCGGAGGCGGAGCCTCGGCGGGTGGAGCCGGCGGCGGCCGGACCGCTGGAGCAGAGCGTCGCCTCGCTGAGGAAGCTGGTGGAACCGTACACGGACCGGTGGCGGGTGAGGTCACGTGTGGCTCCGTCGCCTGTATCACGATCACGTGTTTACGTGTTGTTCTTTCCTTTGTTGTCATGTCGTTGCTGGTCGCTTCTTGTCAAAGCGCAAAATATTGACTCCTGACCATTGAAGGTTAAGGTCAAGAATGTGAATCCGTGAATTAACGTATATTTTGTTTTCTGTTTTCCAGCAAAGCGGCCGAGTTGCAGTGGAGAAAGTTGAAGTTAGTGACGTTTTTAAAAAAACTGTTATTTAACTTTATTTCATGTCCATCTGTTACTTCTTTTATAGAAGTTTTGGCTTTGAATCGTTTCATCCTTCAAAGGTTCAGTCGATCGTAGAACCGTTGTTTTGCTGATTGATTAGAAGTCGAGTTCAGATTTTCTATTATTTACAAACTATTTACACCCTCAAATAAATTACTAATAAACTACCTGGATTTATTAGTGTAATATTCACAAGTATGAAATACGTTTAACTATATTTATATTCTTACCCTGTAAAAGGACCATCTGCGCCCACTCAGACTAAAGGAGCTCGTGTTTCTCTCTTGAACAAACGCTGGATCGGTTCCTTGTGGTCAGAAACGTTTCAGACAAAAGTTTTATGAGCTGCTTTCGTCTCTGTGTTGATCTTTAAACCCCAGAAAGTCTACGAGACCGTGGAGCCCACAGTCAGCGTCTCCATAGCAACCGTCACCGGTGAGACGTTTGATCTCACACACACACACACACACACACACACACGTCGGCCATCTTCTCAGTCCCCCCGTCGTCGTGTTTTTCAGAGACGTACCAGTTCCTCAGTGACCCCCCTCCCGACCTTTACCCCAGTGTGGCGGCGGTGGGCTTCTCCGGCTTCCTGGGACTCTACGTGGCCAAAGGTAACTGGGGAGGTCCAGATGTTCTGCCAGATGTTCCCCTTTCAATCCAATACAAAACAGTACAAGTACAACCTGGAAGTAAAGCGCTATAACGGCACCCTTCAGCTCGCTAAATAACACAAGCATATGAACATATAACCACAATAATGTGTTCACAACGTTATCTAGAAGTATATGATAACGTGGTAGTTAATAACAAACTTGAATTTAAATGAATACATAGTTATTAATGAGCTCATTATTAAGGTTTAATCTCATCAGGCTCCAGGGTGAAGCAGCTGGTGTTTCCTGTTGGACTCATGGCGCTGACGGCCTCCATGTTCTACCCTCAGCAGGCCGCGGCGCTATTGAAGGTACCGCTACGTCACGCGGTGTGATCAGACAGCAGCCTAATCAATGATGCTCACGAGCTGCGTCTCAGAGCCGCTAGGCTGCTTCCTTAAGGACGCATTCGTCACTCCAGCTGAGACTCGTCTGTCCCAAATCTGTCGGCTCCTGTCAATCACAGTAGCCCCGCCCTAAAGCGTCTCCTGCTTCATGGTCTGTTTGACTCTAAATGGATCATAATCTACTAAATGAACATCATGTTGTATTGAAGAAGACTTGAAACTAGAGACCGAGACCATAAACTCATGTTTGCAACGTTTACCGAGGGAATAAATCAAGTCCTTTTCTCATAATACCTTCACTCATCTTTAGTTGGACGTTTGGTGCAACGTTGCCGGTTTTTCTATTTGCCCGTCAAATCAAATCAGCAAAGAACTCTGTCATCCCCTCCTTTAATCCTCGTACTGGGATATTCTCAGGAAGCAGCTGTGAAACCAGGAACAGAGACCGGTTTGACAAGTTCAAAGTTAATTTATTCATTTATAATTCATCATCGAGGGATTTAAACGTTCCAGATGTTTCCAGTTGCCGTTTCTGACAACGGCGTTCCTCTCGGGTGATGTGTTCAAGGCCTGTCGGAAAGTGGGAAGTCTGATGTGTGATGTTGTGTGTTGCGTGTCCGCCAGGTGAGTCGGGATTCGGGATACACCTGGGCTCAGCAGGGCCGCGTTACCATGGAGACGCTTTGGAAAGAGCCTCCGTTTGGTAAAAAGGTGAGTCTCACAAAGCGTTTCACCATTAATCATTTATATATGATAGAATATATTTATAATTATCTCTATATAATATACGTGCGGGTGCGAGAGAATCTTGCTCTTCATTGACTGTAAAACACTAATAATGAAAAAAAATAGTAATAATATAGAATACGACTTTCTTCTAAAAGATTTCCTGACTTTTGTGTCTTTGTTGGGTTTTTTGAAGAAGAAAGAACAAACAGAGAAAAACGACACAAGCGACAGCTGAGACGACAAGATGACGCACACACACCTGAGAGACGTATATTAACACACACACACACACATCTGAGAGACGTCTATTAACACACACAGTTTGTGAACATTGACTTTGTCTTTTTGTTGAAGCTTCAGACATCTTCACTAAATATGTGATAAGTTATTTATAATAAACTCAGATTCTTGATGGTTCCAGTTTCCAAGATGTGAGAATTCATTCTTGTCTAAATGATAAACAATGTATTTGTGTTGTGAAATATTTGATCTACAAATTGTCCTCATGTGTGTATTTCCTCACCTCTTGTGGACCAAAACAAAATATGAAAAGTTATTTAAAAAGGAATTAAGACTTCTAAATGTTTTTTTTTTGTCTCGTTTGTAAGAATAATTTCTTTAAGACTTTCAAAGGAAGTTGTTTTTTAGATCGTGAATGTTTATTTTTGAATATTTAACATTTGTAGGGGTTTGACGTGATAATTAGTTGTATTTGGGGAAGTACTTATTTTCTTAGGACGAGTAAATGGTAACTGAGGGTAAATAGTGCGCTGGTTAGCTTAGCACAAAGACTAGAAATGGGGGGATATGCTAGCCTGTCTAAATGACACAAAATCCACTTGCCAGCAACTTTTAGATCAATATTTTAGTTGTTTACTCGGCCTTTAACCGGCCGAAAAGAACAACAAGTGTAATAAACCAAATAAATTCACTAGACGATCAGCTTGTTCCACCTGCTCTGTAAATCCGGCGTCAGGTGAATTTGAGCTGCTCATGTGACCTTTGGAGGGAAACCGCCCGCAGCGCTTCAGAACAGAGCGTTCCGTTTTATGTGCTGACTGAGAGCAGTAAGAAGCAAACAAACCGCTTCGTGAAAACAGTCACTCGTCTTCTCCAAATACTGCGTGTAAGAAAACACCAAAAAGGGAAGTTATGTGAGAAGCACATTCGGTACAAAAAGACAAGTGGGAGTTTAGCGAAATGATTCAGCTTAAACCAAGTTGGTCACTTTTCTCAGAAGAGATCTGGTGTTCGTAAAGAGATTGAATTAGCTGAACACCTTGTTTAAGATATCCAACATGTGTCTTAGTCATTAGTGTTACTGTGTAAAACAACTCAAAGCCTTTTCCTCATTGCGAAATAAATTGTAGCAAGAAACAAGATCAACTTAAATGATAAAGAACCATAATTGTACAGAGACCAAGACAAGCGAGAAGTTATTGTTTTATTGAAACAAACCACATGCAGCAACAGAACTAAATTAGTCAAATACATCAGACTGAAACAAAGCTGCACAACTACAAACACAATTCCCCGTTTCAAACAGCTGAACAACAAGTGTCGTCTGACTGGAGAGCCCCCCCCAAGGAGTCGGCTGCTCAGACGCCGCCACCGCGTCCTCTCAAACGGGAGGTCAGAGTGGCGGCAGCATCAGACTCAACATGACTCGTCAAAAAGAAGAGCAGCCGACCCCCCGGAGCCCCTCACTCCTCGGCCGGAGTGCCCATCTTCACCAGGCTGTCCTTGTCGAACCTGAAGAGCCTCCAGCCCTCCTCCTGGGAGAGGTCCTCGGCGCCGCGCCGCTTGTAGTACTGGACCGAGGGCTCGTTGTTCTCCGCCACCACGAACATCATGCCGGTGCAGCGAGTCTTCATCGCCAGCTGGAGGAGGCGGAGCCAAAGCGACAGTAACATTCCATCAGTTTGTAGAAAACTACGGATCGTTTTTAAAAGCTTTCTATTGAGGAAAAAATATGTACGATGGTGATCAAACTATCGACCCACTGAGTCACAAAGAATCATTTGATTACAAAATAAAACGTATTAGAAAACGCTGGAAATTCTCCAAATGTGACACACATAACATGTACCCCCCAGAGGCCCGGGCTGGTCCACATACTCACATCACTGAGGTGACGCAGGAGCTCCGATCCGATTCCCAGACCTGAGGAGAGGAGCAGCTGCTTAGTGACGAGCAGCGACATGAAAGCTGGTGTCTGTTGTTATTATTGTTTACCTCTGTACTCCCCCATCACATAGAACTCCTCCAGGTAGAGCTGTTTGCCCACCCACGGGTCATAGGTGAAGTAGTACATGACGAAACCCACCACCTTCGGATCTGTACATCAGAATCACTATTATTAGTTAGCGTCACATTATTTATCGCTTTAGACTCATGTCAAAGTTTCATATTTAGTCAGTTATTCTTCAGCTATAGTCCAAAGTATCAGGGATCTTGATAGTTGACCTTTGACCCACAAAATCTAAATCAGGTTCTCATTGCCGTCAGTGACGATGACAGACTGTTTATGGAGGTTGAGTGACGATACTTTCAGTAGAAAATACTGACATGTATATTGAATATAGTGTTACATTAGCAGCCTGAGCAGAATAACTGACCATTAAGTATCTGAGTAAACTCTTTTCTAGGGCGCTGCGGTCATGTGACCAAAACAGGATGCATGTGTGACATCAGCGTCTGAGAAGGAAAAGCTGCAGCTTCATGAGATCTACAGATGTCTGACAAAAACAGGAAGCCTGTCTCTGTAGCGGTGAGGCGAACAGCGTCACTGCAGATGGCGGAAGCTCAAACATTCTTCTGGGGAAACGACATCATTCCAGCTCTGAAGAATGTCAAGATGAAAACACGCAAAACTCTGGCGTGCACCAACAAGTACCTGCAGCACCGAGACTTCACAAAAGCAGCGGCTCCTCTTACCGTCGCTGCTGGTCCCTCCTTGGATTTCAGCTATAAAGCAATGGTAGAACGGGGTGTCACCGAATCCATCCTCCAGGAGTTCTGCAGGGAGATGCAACGTTGAAGAAAGACTGAAGAACATTGGCTGTGTACACGTGGACCGAGAGGAGCTCACCTTCTTCAGTCATAGTCACCTGGTCTTCCATTCGCTCGTACGTTGCAAGCTCCTGAGACAAGAAAAAGGAACAAGATGTGCCATTGAAAAAAAAAAAAAACGAAAAGGATAGAAACCAGACACTATTCAAATAAGGAAAACATAAATGCAAAAGGAGAAATGTGCCAGAGGCAACAAGCTAGAAATCTAATTTTAGTCTGCAGTCACCGGGCAGGTTATTACAATGTACTGGCACACGACCAGTATGATACATTACAGTAGTGGACTGTAAAGTCCATTCACCAATAGCATCCGGTTCCTGTTTATTAGCTGGGTTCTTTGGACCATCGTATGCAGTCATTCAGTAAAAACAACACGTCCTGTGTGGTACAACTTCTCATCTTTGAACACGTTCGCCCCGCTGGTTACACAACAGCACCAACGGCTTCGACCTTGATAAGAACATAAGCTGAAGGTAAGACGGCCCATATAAGGAACACCGGCGGTCAGAGCGGATGTGAGCCTCCTGGCTGTAAACAAAGCCCCCCCCCCCCCACTAATCCCACACACCGGGGTATTTTCCACCGGGCACTGGGTCACCAACACACGGTGTGATTCGTAGCGTCACCGGACGTAAAATGTCGGACACGTCGGACCGCGTCGTTACAGTCCACGGGAAGGACGGGGCGGTTGGCTAACGTTAGCTAGTAGCTAACGAGCTTGAATATCTACGTTTAAGCTAGCTAACGGTAGATGTTTGCCAGCTTACCTTCACCAGTCGTAATATATCAGACACGTCTCTGGGTTCCGCTTTTCGTAATTTATACTCCATTTTCTTCTTTTACTCTTTTTTCCTCTAGTTAGAAGTCCTCTGTATGTGAAGTGAAAGATACGTTGTTTCTTCATTCGCTTCAGAGTGGCCTTTTTCCCGCAGTCAGCCTCAGATCCGGACGGGTTTGTCGAGACAAGTTCATCCAGTAGTTATCACCCTCGGCTGGGTCGCTGCCGTTCAACTGCCGTCGCCTTTGTGCACAGCGCCGCTTTTATACGCGGCACGCGCTCCAACGCGATTGGCTCGTCCCTTCGGCTCTCAGATTTCTGGCGAATCGGCGAAGGAGCTGACTGTCCTCTGTCAGCCAATCGGGGGGCAATGCTCAAGTGACGCGTGTTGCTGTCGCTCTCGGTCATAAGGTCTTTGTGTTTTTGGTGATCAGGACAAAAAGTACTTTGCGGGTTACTTTTAAAATGTGAGCATGTTACACTATAGAAACACTTGCTAGAGAAGATCCCACTTTTAAAAGTGTACTCATTTAAAAGTGAAAACTTGTTTGTATCCAAATATAACGAAAGGATCAAAGTCAAAGTACTCATTGAAGAATGGCACATCAGAATATAATATGTTATATTGGTGTAATATATTATAAATATATTTAGATTACTGGTAAAGTAATCTATAATTCTATATAACTAATTAGTCAAGTTCCACTACTGACATTTGATGTAAGAATTATGTATATTTACTGAATATTATATTTTAAATTCTGCAGAAAAGTAGACGCCTTATGGGTGTAGGTTTTGTGCGCTACAAAAGGACTAGTCCATGAAGGAAGTTAGTGGTACACAGTGGCGAATAAATAGAGGGCAGTGGGGCGTTGCCCCATCTAATACAGTATCATATCACCTCCAGCTGTTGCACATATATCTTACAATGTTTCATTACTTGCATTGTAACTTATTGTAGAATCCTGTCTAAACTCCTCTGTATATTTTTGTTCACAGCTCAGATAAGAAGCTGAACTGCTGGAGTGTCACTTCCTGTATGACACCTGAATCATTTTAGGTGTAGCAGTGACGGTATTTTAACCTTGGACTATGCCAATACTGCACATCCAGCTGTCATTGCTTTCTGTTTTGTTTTAATTGATACAGCCATATATTGCGATTTGTTACAGCAGTGGCAGCTGGAACATTTTATTTGCAGAGCTATTCAATCAATACATTTACCAGGTCTAAACACACTTTTTTTTTTTTTTTTCGGGATCTCAAGGAGCGGCGGCTCTCGAGGTACGACAAGGAACAATAAAAACATCTGACTGATAACAAGGCGTCTCGGCGATTTGTATGGAATCAATTATGTCTTCAAATCATTTGTAACAGGAAGCCAGTGTGAGGAAGCCAGAGTCACTCAGACTAGCTTTAGAAATACTGGCTGCAGAGTTTTAGGTGAGAGTAGTATAACCTACGAGGTCTTTATTAATACTTTCTTTCATGAAAAACATCATCATATCAAGCAGAATCAAATTCATAGTTTTCCCTCACTGATTATGTATTATAAAAGGTTTGTCAGGAATACATATATCACACTGTTTGTTATACATACATAATAAATAGGAATAAAATCATTATTTGACTCGGAAACGACGCTGGAAACGGGAATAAATCGTCGGACAGATAAGGAGAACTTTGCTCGAACGCTTCTTTTCGGGGATTTTCAGACGCTACGTCTTGCGTCATCACGTAGTAGGCGGGGCCGGACGTCAACCCGGAAGCCGTTACTGCGGTCGCCCCGATTTGCCTGGCACTTTGACACCGCAGCACCCCGCAGAGGAAAAGCCTCGTTTTGCCGACCTCACCCACTGTATTTGTACCCCTGGACACATCCGGGACGCCACAATGCTCTCACCGAGGTCAGTGGGACTAAACACGTGACTCCAAGCTGCGTTCACCCTGCTAATTAGACCGGTGCTAACCATTAGCATGTTTACAAACCACTTTTTCTGCTAATAGTTCGCAGCAGCCGCGTAAAGTGACTGCGCCGATAACTGGTTTGTGTTTAGAGCCGTTAAACGAATTATTCACATTTAAACGAGATGAAAGAACGAGCTCCTCCCGAGGCTTGGAAGTCATCGTAAACCTAAAGGGTGTGTCATGTTCTATTAGTACTACTGCAAGTCATCCATCACTTCACTGTGAACAGATGCACAGTGAGCCTGTCCAACTAATACAGATGGTGCTCAGTGGAAGGACCTGTTCTTTACTCCAACAATCCAATCCAAAGTATAACAATAAAAAGTGTTATACTTTTTACTGTATTACATCTCACAGGTAGATATTGTATATGTTACTGTACTCCTGGAGGAAAACTCTAATGTAGAGTTAATGTCTAAGGTATGAGCGTGAGTCTGAGCATCAGTGGCAGCAGGTCAGAGATCACATGGCGGTTATTATTAGGATACGATGTAACTGGATTCCTCTGCTTCACGGTCTTCTCAGGGTTTGTTTGTTTGTTTTGGTCGCGGCCTCTGGTGTCCTACAGGTTCCTGCTGCTGCGGTCGGCCGCGTCCGTGACGACCAGGTCGTTCTGCTCGGGAGGCGTTTCCAAGCCGGGCCGGGCGCCGGACATGGCCGAAGGTAAGGCATCCACCGTGCTTCCTGTTTGACCTGAATGACCCCCACCTGGTTGGATCCAACACGTTAGAACCCTCATGGTGGTTCAGGAAGTGCTTTTTGTTTGCTGACTCAGCTGGTTCCAGACCCGTGAAAGACTTTCTTTCAAGGTCTTTACCGCGGGATATTACCAGGTGGTCTCGGCCCCGGTGGAAGGGTCTGATTTGACGATGTAAACGGCCAACTACACGCCTCTGCTGCCTGTCTGGTCTTTAACCTCCAGCACCACTTCCACCTCTTATTCTGTGTCTGTGCTCCAAGCTACGAGTAGATGAACGATATGAACGCCTCCCACCAGAGCTTTGGACCGTCGGTCGGAGCAAACAAGCGACTAGACGACGTCCTCCCGGACTTTGGGATCATTTTATGACACTTTAGAATGACAAATTCCAGAGAATGAATCTCTTGTGTAATGACCTCCCCGCTGAAGTCCGCCCTGCTAACTAGCGCACGCTAACCCTGTCGGCACTTGACACCGGTTCAGTTGCTTGTTTTGAGAGTGATGCTCTTTAAATGTTAGTTGATGAATGCGGTGGAATGTAATCTGGTGACGGCATTTAATGTGTAAAAACCTCATTCCAATCGTTTGTTTCTCCACAGGAGATCCCCTTTTACACGTGTCTAACGGTGTGTTGGTAAACCGAGACAAATCCGATCTTAACTCTCGCTCTCTTCCGATTCTCTCCGATGACTTGAATTCTTCCTGCACGCTGAGTGGCTGAGCATGCACCTCCACCTGCTCCAATACACTTGGACTGCTCACCTGCTCGGCCTGTTCCTCAGGTGTGCATCGTGTGTTCACGGTGCTCCGCTCCTTCTGGCCTCCGGGCTCTGAGCTTCAGCGCTTTACCGTCTGGTTCCCTCATGATAGTCGTCTCTATTCGCTTCTTTCCTCCGTGTTGTTTCACATCGTCTCTCTGTTTCAGGCCTCAATGAGCTGCCGCCGTCCTGCAAGAATTAGGGACATTTGACGGTTTAACTGCCCGTCAGATTGGGATGTTGTTACTGAGGATCCATGAGATGGAGGAATCACTTGTGCTCTTTTAATAAAGAGCACAATCGTTAAAGAGAGATTCAGTTTCCTCGAAGCTGAAAAACAAAAGTGTAACAGCCTCATTGTTTGTGAGGGAGACGGTATGAAACATAAAACCTTGAACTTTTGGTGCTTTCACTGCAGTACACGCACACACACACACACACACACACACGCACACGCACAGAAGGCCTGATAGTTTTTTCCGTGTTTTTTCAGTGCGGAACCGGCTGAGGGAGATCGTGGGAGCTTCCACTAACTGGAGGTACCGAACCATTTGTGTCAAAGCACCAAGGAAACATTTTGTTTCATTCGATCTCGTTCGCTCAACAGTCTTGTCTTGTTTTTTGTGGCGACAACTTGTATCAATTACAAAAAAATAGTTTAGATACTTAAACGCCTCTCAAAGACAGCTGTGCCTTACAACTTAGCACATATATTTTCTACCAATTCAGTTGGTTGATATTATTCATGTATGTGACCAATAAACCGTTGAGTTGTTTATGAGTGACACAGAGGACAAAGTCACGGAAAGCTTCACGTCAAGGAGCTTGAAGGCGTCACGCTGCAACTTGAAACCAAAGCAAAACATGCACAGTTTCAAGGTCTAAGGTTTACGGAGGATTTATTGGTACATCGGGAAGAAAAAGCAGAGACACGTTCAAGGTCAGCGACTCGTTTGTGAATCAGCTCCGGATTCCGTGATCCATCTGAGGAATAAACAAATGAAATAATCCAACTAAAAACTTAACAAAATACTGCCAAAGGCAAGAGAATAGATAAAGGATTCAAGAAAAGCTTTAACCGGTTAATGGTTGCGTTGGTATGCGTGCAGCGACCACCAGCAGGCCATGTCGGAGCGCCTCTCGCTGTCGTCCATGTTGGCGAAGTCCCAGAGCGACCTCCCGACCAAGAGGATGAAGGACAGCTACCTGGAGGTGCACCTGCCTCTGGGCTCGGAACCACAGCTCAGAGAGAAGTACCTGACCTTCCACAACACTGTCAGGTACACACACACACACACACACACACACACACGCAGGAATATGACCCCTCACAGCGCAGACCGTCACCACTCGCGTGTTTTCTATTGGATGCCGTGTGCGTCCTTGTGACCAACAGGGATCATTTATAGGAAACATGAGTGAGCGATCAGGCGCAGGACCCCACAAGGACAGACAAACACACACACAAACACACACACACACACACACACACAGTCGGCTTGCTCATCGTCCTCTTTCTTCGGCCCCTGCAGGTTTGGGAGGATCCTGGAGGACTTGGACAGTTTAGCAGGTATCCCTGAAACGTCTAGTTGACGTCCACTATAAGTCAATAACGGATGTGTTTTCAGTAAACAGAGACATCTTTTGTCCTCAGTCCTCATCTCCTACTCTCACACCTACAACGAGGCTCTGAAGAGGTCTCCTCTGTCCATCGTCACCGCCCTGGTGGATAAGATCGGTAAGTGTGCTCGGCCTCAGTGCATCCATCATGGAGCAGGTGACAAGAAGAGCTTCTCACCCCCTCGTCCCCCCGACAGACATGAGGCAGCACATCATCTACCCCGACTGCGACGTCAAGTTCACCGGTCATGTGACCTGGGTGGGAAAAACCTCTATCGAAGCCAAGATGCACATGTCACAGGTACGCGCACACACGTGTGCCGTCAGGAGAGAGCCTAACGAATCTTAACAGGAAGCAGAAGACACCCGAACGTCTCTTCTGTCTCTTCTTTCAGTTCCACGATGGGTCTTATTCTCCGGTTCTGGACGCCACGTTTGTGATGGTGGCCCGAGACCCCGAGAACAAGAGGTGCTACTGAAGATCCTCAGAGATACACTTCAATGATCACTCCAACGTAGAGTCCTTTTCACTACGGATTCATCTGCTCATTATTTCCTCCCTTTATCGCTTTGTTGTTTGTTTGTAAAAAAAAAAGTAAGAAATGTTCCTCACAAATAGCCGAGAGACCGAAGTGACCTGATTATTATGAATAACATTCTTAACACTACTAGTAATAAAGTACCATTACACGCAACACATTATTACTTATAATATACATTTTTTTATTATCAATAGAATGAAAAATATTAATATTTTAACACTAAGTACATCATCGTTATTTACATGAGAATATTAAGAATATTGACATTACTGAAAAAGTAATAATATTATCATTATTACATTGACATGTAGAACCATCACATGTTTTTAGTTAATATTGAATCATAAAGTGAGTTTTTATTTATCTGATATTTACACTTCTGTCTTTATTTCAGGGCGGCTTTCGTGAATCCGCTGAAGCCGGAAGGTCCGGAGGAGGAGAAGCTCTTCCAGGAGGGAGAAGGTGTGACCCCCACCCCCCCCCGCCCCCCCCCCACGTGACCTCAGGTGGAGACAACAGCAAACGTCTCTGTGTAAACTCTGTGTCCTTTGTCCTTCCAGCTAACAAAGTGCGGCGCGTGGAGCTGAGCACGGCGTCGCTGCTGAAGGTGGCGCCCACGGACGAGGAGAGGAAGATCGTACACGGCCTGTTCCTCAACACGCTGGACACAAAGTACGAGGTCCTCCACTGTGATGACATCATCACGTCCTACTGTTGGAGGCGTGGAATGTTTGGACCCTCGGAGCACAAAGTAGTTTGAGACCTTTCAGATTCCTCACTAGAAGACGTGTGCGGACACACGACGAGCTTTTAGGGTCACTGCGGTTAACAAATAGATAAATGAGGGGGAATAAGATGCAGCATCAGTTAAAAGTTCAAACGCTGTGTGTACTTTACATCACACCTCATTTAGCTGACGAATCATTGCATTTTTAACCCGTCCCGTAGTGTGCAGCAGTCAGTAGGCAGGGGTCGGGTGTCTCGCTCGGGGACACTTCAACATGGGACGTGGAGCCGCTGGGGTTTGTACCGCCAACCTTGTGGCTCCGGGCGCACGGCCTCTCCTCCAGGCGGCGCCACCGACCCATATGCTGAACCTGCGCGTGTGTTCCCTCTCCTCCTCCTGCAGGACGGTCAGTTTCCGCAGCAGACTTCTGCCTCCGAGCTCGGTGTGGATGGAAGACGCCAAGCTGAAGGGGCTGGAGATCTGCCACCCTCAGGTGGGAGGCTGGACCACGAGGAGACACGCCTCTTTATCGCCTCCCAGCCCAGTCATTAACTTTAAGTGTGTGTGTGTGTGTGTGTGTGTGTGTGTGTCGACCAGGAGAGGAACATCTTCAACAGGATATTCGGAGGCTTCCTGATGAGGAAAGCCTACGAGTTGGGCTGGGCCAACGCCTGCTCCTACGGGTGAGAGGGCAAAGGTTACCGTGTGTGCGAGGCAGACGTTTAAATACTCGTACGTCTTTTACGTTGCAGTGAGCGACGTCTCTTGACCCCGAGTGGAATTAAAATAATAAAATATTTGAACCCGGCCGACCATTCATGCGAGATCGGGTCAAAGTTCAAGGTGCTACGTGAGAAGTTTAATTTCAGTGTGGACTTTGTGATGTAGAGGAGTTCGACCCAGTCTGGTTGCCGTGGACGACATCCTCTTCCAGAAGCCCGTGGAGATCGGCTCCCTGCTGCTGCTCTCATCTCAGGTCTGATTGGTCGAGGCCTACTGATGCTGTGTGTGTGTGTGTGTGTGTGTGTGTGTGTGTGTGTGTGTGTGTTCCTCAGCGACTGACCACACACTGTGTGTGTTTTAGGTGTGTTACACACAAGGGAAGCACATCCAGGTCAGAGTTCACAGCGAGGTGTTTGACCCGTTGACCCGTCAGCACAACACCACCAACGTCTTCCACTTCACCTTTGTCTCCGACCGCGACGTCCCAAAGGTCGTCCCCATGACCTATGGAGGTGGGCACACACACAGACACACAAGAACACACCTACAACACTTGCCTTTTAATTGACCTTTTAACTACACTACATTTATTTGATAACTTTTATTTTATATATGAATTATTATATATAGTTATAGTTTTACTTCTTCCACCACTTACATTTTGATTGACACTCTGAACCTTCATGATACTTTAAGTAGAACATGTGAAGGGAAAAAGGAAGATCAGATTAATGCTGTTCTTGTGTTTCTGTGTCTTTTTTTGTGTTTGTGCGACAGAGTCGATGTTGTATCTGGACGGGAAGAGACACTTCAATCAGACGGTGGAGGAGTGAACACGCTGCATCGACCTGCCAAAGCCTTTCATAGTGTGAATGAATGAATGCACTTACAACATACGTCCTCTTTACACCATGCCTTTACACAACTTGTTATTTTTATTTTTCTGGTGGTTGAACTTTTTTGGTGCCATTTGTGCTTCAAATTCATATATATATTTTTCTTATAAGCACATTTATTGCTGATTTGCATTGCTTTTCATCATGTTATGACATTTATATTCTGCCGCTGCTTGGACGCACAAAACTCTGACTTTACTTTAATTTCTTTGTTGAATGAGAAGCTTTATTCTGAAGGTGTTGCAGAGAGAGATGACGGCGGCCACATTCTGGCCTTCAGTATATTAACTCAAACGCAATAAATTAATTGTTATTTTTCTTCCCTTCAGTCATCCTTGTGTCTTTGCTTTCAATTTGTTTGAGCGTTTGTGGTTTTGTTTGACTTAAACCTCGGCGGTAGCCTCTGCGGGCTTAATTCCTCTCAATGTAATGGTGACGTGGGGGGTTACTTGGGTCCTATTTAGGACATCTTTTTAACGCTTTTTTTAAACCGGAAGATATTCATTTTATTTTTTTTCTTAATTAGTCATTCTACAATGTTAGATAAATGTATTTATTTTACATATATATTATTTATTATTGAGTCACTTTTGGGCCCAGATAGTTTCACTAGTGTGCTATCAAAATAATAGATGAATGCAGTGTTTTCCCTCATTTTAATATAAATTTAAAACGTTTGTAGAAAGCAAATTAAGCTTAGTGAATATAAATACAGAACATAAAAAAACATATCTCTTTGAAAAGACTACGTTAAAACTGGAATATTTTGTGAACAAAATGACTTTTTTACTAATTTGCCTAATTTCTTATTTTTTAAACGGGTTGCTTTAATGAGTCAATTAAATTAACACAACCGTCTTCAACATTTCATGTTGTATAATTGGAATGGAGTCGTTCCTTTCATCTTTGTATTATAAGCTGATACTGATGATTTATTTGATTGAATTTCCAACCCTCTATATAAACCGCTAGGAACCAACGTTCAATGTGGCCGCTGTTCACCCGGCGTTATTCCGCACGCGGACACCAGCACGGCGCTATCACTTAGCTGCGTCTAACTTCCGCTCTGCTAATCCCTCCCGGGCGGGTCGTCGCTGAGTAGCATGCAAAACATGTTGACCATTATCTCCAACGCGCTGTGCAGGATGGCGGGCAGGAACGTGGTGAGCGGGTCGCTTCGTGTCTTGGCGGGCGGCTAACGGGAGCTAGCTCGGTGTTTAGCTCGGCTAGTAGGGGCTGACCTTGTGAGCGGGTAGCGTGTTAGCCACAGGCGGCTAGCGCCACTCTGGCTCTGCGCTCCGCGTGCTGCGCGTCTTATTTGTGTTTATTTGCCGATCGGTAAGTAGCTAAAGTGGTACTTTTTAACGAACGGAGGCTCAAACCCGTCCTTCACTTTTGTCTCTGCGCATCTTTATTTCATTTAGTCTGGTCGTGCAGCTTTTTACGGATTTAGATTTCTTTTACAGTTGTGAATTTCTAGGTCAGTTAAAACTCATCAGTGCACCGGAAACGGCATGTCTGTGTTTCCGGGGCAACAGAGATCCCGCAGCCCGTTCAGAACCAATCCGATAACTGGTGTTTTTATAAATAATATGGACCGTTGATCAAACGACCCGGCGTGTGGCTTTAGGATCCTTCGCTCTCATTCACACAGCAGTCCGTTCATTGCTTACTTCTCTCCCTCCTCCCTTCTCTCCTCCTCCCCTCCTCCCTCCTCCCCCCCGTAGGGAGCCCAAACAGTGTCCGAGGTAAGCAGATCAACGTTTACTGTCTCAATCATTTAATTCTGTTCTAATATAAAAGTCGTAAGCTACAACAAAAATAATAAATCCGCTTTTTTTTTTTAAACAAGTTTGTTGTCTTTGAGATTTAATTAAAATAAAAATATAATATACACCGTCTTTAATTTAACAATTTATTCTCCATCGAGCCCAGTGTTGTTTTTTTGTTTTTTTTGTATTCAAACAATCCTGGAAAAGTCTGACGAAACAAAATAGGACGAGTGAGAATTTTATCAAACCATGAAGCCCCAAAAATATTGAGTTTCCTATAAAATGAGGGAATTGTTTAAAATGAATGTCCATTAAAATGGTTAAGAACACCGTTTTCTAACAGTCCATAAACTTTAAAGGTTCCTATCTTATTTTTTGACATAGTGTGTAAAAGGATTTTAGAAAGTTAAGTAAAGATGGATGCTGCTGTTCTTTTATCCATCAGAGGTCCCCCAAGGACTCTGTCTCTCGTCCATGCCGTTGTCCCCGTTAGTCTCTGCTGAGCCGCTCTGCCTCTGCTCTGCTCTGATTGGTCGGCTCCTTTTGTTCCCCAGTTGCTGGTCGACCTGTCAGAGTACGTCAATGTAACGTCGTCGCCACCGGCAACGCCCGCCTCGGCGCAGACGCGGCGGCAGCCGCCCGAACCACCGCCACCGGTCTGTGCGCCGTTAGATAGAGACCAGGCAGACAGACCAGTAAGACCTGGGGACGCGTCCCGTGTTCGTCTCCACTAACGGCTGCTTCTGAACCAAGAAAACCTCCAAAACAAACCGCGACCACGTGATGTTGAGACAGGAAACGATCATCACAAACGTGTGACTCTTTTTAAGCTTCCATGGATTTAACTTTAACTAACTAACCGATATTAAATTAAAAAAACAGGTCTGCAGCAAACTCATTTAATTCCTTCTCTGCAAATGTAATGAAACAACCAGAACATGTTTATACTCAAACTGCAGTTCAACAATTCATCTCAATTTTAACACGGCAATATTTGTCAAATCATTTTAAATGAAATGCTGTGACGCTGCAGATAATAATCTAATTCTAGATTCGAGTTGTAGATTCTAATTCGAGTTGTGGAAACCTGCCAGCATGTCCTCCAATGAGAATAACTACGTTAAATACGCCAATATTACATTACATTACATTACAGGTCATTTAGCAGACGCTTTTATCCAAAGCGACTTACATTACACTTTAAACCCATGGCTTTTTCACATTTTTGCCTGGGGAGCAATTAGGGGTTAGGTGTCTTGCTCAAGGACACTTCAACATGGAACATGGGGCAGCCTGGAATCGAACCACCAACCTTGTGCTTCCCAGCACACCTTCTCTAACCCCTGTGCCATGACGACCCACGTCCCAAAATCAGACCCAAACATTTAGTTCGCATTTCTGCTCGCTCTTATTTCTGTTAAATATATATTTTCTTCCTCCAGAACCAGTTTGTTTTAATAACCCCCACCACCCACCCACGCTGTAGTAGACTGTTCAGGGGTGACCCCCCCCCCCCCTCCGTCACCTATTTGCCCGCCAACACCTGCTGTGAAGAGGACGTCCGGTTTCATGTTTATTCTGCTTTGTTCTTTGTAGTTTATTGTTGTTCTTTGTCCCCAGGGGGGCCGAGTCGTTGTGTCTCGCTCATTCGCCGACTTCAACTCTACGGCGACCTTTGACATCAAGGTGAGTCGGATTGACCTCCTGTTCTACCGTGTGCGTTGGTCTGCTGAATGCAGATGTTGACCATGTGTCTGGTAGAAATGCGACGTGCACCGCCTGGAGGAGGCGCCCCCGCTGAAGGCGGAGCTGACCCGGGATCAGGGCCTGCAGTACTACCGCGTCATGCAGACGGTGAGGCGCATGGAGCTGAAAGCTGATCAGCTGTACAAGCAGAAGATCATCCGAGGCTTCTGCCACCTGTACGACGGCCAGGTGTGCCCTCTATTCACACTCCATTCATTGGGGTTCGCGTTTTTTACGGGCCCCTTCGCGGTAACGTCTTTCTCTTCCCACAGGAAGGGTGCGCGGTGGGCATCGAGGCCGCCATCAACCCCACGGACCACCTGATCACCGCTTACGGCGCCCACGGCTACACCTACACCCGGGGCATCTCCGTCAAGCAGATCCTGCCCGAGCTCACGGGTGAGCGGCGACGAGTTCGGGACCGAGCGGCGACGAGTCTCCATTTTTCAGTCCGTATAAAGTGCGTTTTCTCTCCCCCCCCCCCCCCCCCTGATCCCACCAGGGCCAGCTGTTTGAGTCCTTCAACATGGCCGCCCTCTGGAAGCTGCCATGCGTCTTCATCTGCGAGAACAACAAGTACGGCATGGGCACGTCTGTGGAGAGGGCTTCAGCCAGCACCGACTACTACAAGAGGGGAGACTACATACCGGGCCTCCGGGTGAGACACACACACACCAGGTCTTGGGCGGTAGCTGCAGTGTGTCTGTACGCTGCAGCTGGCCCGTATGAACCGACACTATGACGGGAGGAGGCTGGACCTCCGTCCCGGCAGCTGCAGGTGTGAGCATTCATTCAGCTGTCTGATGCTCATGTATGATGCTGCAAACATCCTTCATACGTGCACACGTGTTTGGTTTGTGGTTTAATGGATGCTTTGTTTGCAGCAACCCGGAAGGGGATTACAATCTTGTGCGTGTTATTAATGTTTGTGTGACCCTGTCTCCCAGGTGGACGGGATGGACGTCCTGTGTGTCCGAGAGGCCACCAGGTTTGCTGCAGAGCACTGCAGGTCTGGAAAGGTGTGTGAGATCCTTTAAACGTTGATCCGACTCTGTAGACGTGTGTGTGTGTAAAGCTCCCTGACGGCTGTGAGGAATCACCGCTTGTGTGTTTTTTAGGGTCCCATTATAATGGAGCTGCAGACTTACCGTTACCATGGACACAGCATGAGTGACCCGGGCGTCAGGTGAGCTCCTGAATACCGGCGTCCTGTTCTACGCTTCTCTGCTTTCTCACTTTCATTTTAATATTTGAATAATTGGTGTATTTAGTTATAAAGTCTGGAGCTCTGTTGACGATGCGTTTTAAGATCAGTAAACCTTAAAAACTGGTTGGTGCATGAAGGGAAATGAATCAGCATTAAAGTCTTTAATAGACTAATATCAAACGGTTAAGTGACAATAATGCTATTTGTTTGACTTCCTTGTGGCTGTGACGTCACTTCCTGTAGTTACCGCACGCGGGACGAGATCCAGGAAGTGCGCAGTAAGAGCGACCCCATCACCATGCTGAAGGAGCGCATGCTCAGCAACAACATGGCGTCAGTGGAGGAGTTCAAGGTGCACACACACACACACACACACACACACACACGTTATCTCTAAAAGTACTTCAGATACTAGGATTGACTGACTTACTGTATTTAGACGCTTGTAAGTCTTTCCAGCAGAGTCCTGTTCCATGATGTCCTCCAAGTGAGGATTGTGTTTGGCTTTGATCTTGAAGTGATGCGCGTAGTATTAATATCACCTCCTCCGCCAGGAGATCGACGTGGCGATCCGTAAGGAGGTGGAGGAGGCGGCTCAGTACGCCACCTCCGACCCGGAGCCGCCGCTGGACGAGCTGTGCAACCACATCTTCAGCAACGACTCGCCGCTGGAGGTCCGGGGCATCAACCCCTGGGTGAAGCTCAAGTCCGTCAGCTAGAGACACACACGCACACACACACACATGGGCCTCCGTCACTGACGCCCTGACCTCTAACAAGAAATGACATTCTCCATTTCTAGACGATTCTGCATCCTAACTGGATGTTGACCTGAAACCTTGTTATTTATTTATAGTTTTATATAGAAATATGTTATTTATGTTTGTTATTGTCCTCGTGCTGCTGCAGGGATCTTTCAGGGCTGCTTCTCATGCGCACAAAACTTTATTCCCCAACATTCTGTCTTTGTTTTATATTCCTCCTCATTAGAAGGATATTTAGCAACTTTTAAATGTTGTGATTCTGCTCTATGAAATATATTCTCCTTTCCAGCCAGCAGTCATTTTTAGACAAACTACGACTAATATTTTGAGTTCTTCTTAAAACGCTCACTTGTTGTTCTCAGATCTTCTTTGTTTAGTTGAAATGATTTTTGCAGGAAGTGTAAAGCAGCTGAAAATACACCACTAGTCATGTAAAAGTACATTTACTCTACACGAGGACAAGTGTGAGGTACTTTACTGTTTAACTTTCTACTTCACTCCATGTCTGCACTTTTCAGATTGATACAAAGTCTTATCAATAAATCACCTGATGCATTTTTGCACATTATGAACCCTGCAAGTACAATAAATACGTAGGACTCCTTATGCAGCCTGTATATTTATATAATAGTATTTGTTGATGCTGACCTTGTATGGTGTGTATTTGTACCTGTATTTACTTTGAGTTTAATGCACCAGAATAGTTTTTGGTTATTAAGACGCCTGTTGAGCAGTGCGTCAAATCCTTGAAGTATTTAACTTTCAGTAATTGTATCGTTCAGAAATATCTCATGCGAAGCGTTAAATCTTGTTTGTTGAACTGAGTGACTAAAATAAAGAGTGAAGATCAATACTGTGAGTCTCTTCGTCTCATGATGCTTTGTACTGGACAGCCAAGTACTTTACTGTACTACATTTAAGAGATGGCTATTGTACTTGTACTGCTTTCTTCAGTTTTGAAGTTTTGAAACTTTAATTGAAATCTATAAAATAATCGTTTGCAACTTCAAATTACACAGCATCTCAAATCATTGCAGCAATGACGTGAACTTTTTACTTTGACTATACTTTTATAACACCGACCACTAGATGTCACTGACAGCCCGAGAAACCAGCTGTGACATCACATCTGCTGCCATGGCAACCGGACATCACACAAGTGTCACTGATGATTCATTGGCAGTGGACTAAAATCCCCCCGTGGCATCGTCAGTAAACTGGTTACTAGAAGTGATCCATTTGTCTTGTAGAGCTGACGTGTGACTTGTCATAGTTGACCTGTGACCCGTTGGTCTTGACTCGGGACTCCTGACATGTGACTTGTTCCTCTGCTCAAAGGGAGAAATGGAGGATTATTTGTCCTGGTTCGTCTCTTCGGTTCCTCCTGAATGAATCAAAGACATCAGGCTCATTAAACACTGCGGATTTTAATACATTAAGAATAAATATTAAATAAATAAAACATTACTTGAGTGAAAACAGAGTGTGTGTGTGTGTGTGTATATATATATATATATATATATATATATATATATAATGCTCATTGTTAATTATAACGTGTTACTCATCCGTTCGGGTGAAGTTGGAACAAGTCAAAGTTTATTTGACTCGTTATCTAAGGACTCCGCCCCCTGGTGACGCATCCGTGACGCAGCGGTCTGACGGACAGGTAAGCCGACACCGGCCGCCATATTGGGAAACAGCCGGAAGTGAGAGAGAGAGACAGACAGAGAGAGAGAGAGTGAGACAGAGAGAGAGAGTGAGGGAGAGAGGGGGAAGGAAGGAAGGTGGGGAGGGAGAGTTTCCGAAAAGAAGGCCGTCCCCCCGCTGCGCGTGCTCGTCTCCGGACCGAGGGGCGGTCTCTCTGCGCGGCACCGCTCCAGAGCCAGAAGGTGTTTGGCTCGGCTCGGCTCGGCTCGGTCGTTCGGGGGGGGGGGGAAAGGTCTCCGAGGGCGGTTTGGTTTCACTCGGGGGGCGAGCGGGGGGAGGAGGAGGAGAGCGAGGCAGAAGAAGAACTACCTTGAAAAAAAGACCGGAATAATTTAGCAGAAGAAGAGACGAGGAAGAAGGAAGTGTGCCGGCCGAAGGGAGGAAACAGGAATCAAGGAAGTCAAGGGATCAAGGAAGTGTGAAGGAGAGGAGAAGATGCCGCTGGCTCAGCTGGCCGATCCCTGGCAGAAGATGCCTCTGGGGGGGACGACGGGAGAGGTGAGAGACCACCGCCAGGTACTCAGGTACTCAGGTAGAAGTACTCAGGTAGAAGTACTCAGGTAGAAGTACTCAGGTGTTCCGTCTCACCGTGGGACTGTGAGTGTCCCAACAGAGGAGGTCCACCTCAGAGGCCCCGTTAGATTGCGATTAAATACACTATAAAGTAACTACTAGATGTTTATTCTAGTCTTAAAGCGGCTGTAAGGTGCCACATTAAGTACAAATAAATTACGCAGTTCCTCAAGACACTTTTAAATCAAGGCTTAATACGTCATAAGTCACTATTAGATTATCGTATTCTTCTCTGAGCGCTCGGATGCCAAATCAGATTAAATACACTATAAAGGCTTATGATAGACCTTCAATTAGATTAAAATACATCGAGAAGCTGCATATCTCACTTTACTGTGACTATTATACTCAAAAAGCTCCTGTACGCGCTACAAATTACATTATGATCATAAAAAAGCACTTAAATAATCACTACAAGTCACTTTGGGGATTCTAGTTATTTACGCCTTTTTGTGGGTGTCTTATTTTTAGTTTGTGTATTTATTCCACAGGAACAAGATAGAAACGGAAGTTGAAGCTTCAAGTGCAAATAAGTTTATAATTTGATAATTAACTAGTGAGAAAATAGTGAAATGTTTTTCTAAAAAAAAAACAAAATGCAGCTTACATCAGACGGGACGAAGGAAGCAGAGGATTTATTCAGCGTCCATAAACTCACGTTTCAGTGTGACAGAAATACCACACAAGCTTTTCTCGGGCTGAGCGAGAATAAAAGACGCTCAAGGTGACATTCAAGTGATTAGGAAGTCGCCTTGGAGACCGTCTGAGCGTGCGGACGCCGTCTAGCTTTCGTTTGTTTGGCGTAAAACATTAAAAAGCTCAAGTCGAAGTGTGAAACCGGAGCGAACGCCCTGCGTGGGTTCGTCTTTTTCTTCACTTCTTCCTTCAAACCCGTTTTTAAATCTTGATAAGGAGCCGCCGCGATGGTTGAGGAAGAGCTTACGTGATGCGTGTGTTCACTTCCTGCATGAAGTGTCACAAGGGCGGCGTGACCAAACGGCGGTTTGTGCGATTGTGAATTCACGCACGGAGAACCGCGAGCCGGCTTCTCTCTTCTTTTCCCTTTTCTCTCCGCTCGTACCTGCTCGCCGCTTTCCCCACGCGGACTCTCCTCTCTCTTTGTCTCCTCTCTCCTTGTCTCCTCGCCCTGGACGCCGCTGAACTTTTGACCCACCCCCCCCCCTCCCTCTGGTGTGACACCTTCACGTCCCTCGCCCTGCAGCAAAGCGCGTCGTAAAGCTTCTGCTTGCCGGCCGCCGTGACCAAGAGAAGCTTTTGTATGAACTCCTTTTTTTTTTTCTTTTTTTTTTTTGGCCCCGAAGACAAATTTCATTGAGGACGCTCACAAAGAGCGGCGAGGGGGGGGGGGGGGGGGACGTCGTCTGCTGAGACGCGGAAACAAAGACGAGCAGATGGAGACGGCTGCAGCGCTGAATGTGCAAAGGTTGCACAATGAGGGCACATCAGAGGGAAATGGAACTGTGCCCTAAATATCCAACCAAAGGTTTCTGTCTGAATGTTTCTGTGCTGTGAGAGAAATGCAGCTTTTTCTGGTTGAATGACTTGATTGATCGGCTGGTGGCGAATGGATTAATCAATGTAGCATTAAAGGGTCTCACGGTCTGACCCTCAGTCCTGGTCCCGCGTGTCCTGGGCCTCCTTCTCCCCTCCAGCGAGTCCAGTGATGCGTAGTGTGTCTCCCGAGGAGGAGAAGCGAGATGAGCCCTCCTCCTCCTCCTCCTCCTCCTCCTCCTCCCGCAACTTGAAGTTGGCGTTTTGTGCGTCCCCTGGGTCTGCGTCCTCTCCGTCGCCTTCACTCTGTCTCCCTCTTTCTAGCCACGGAATCAATCATGACCTGATGCTGTGGCTTAATGCAGCCTTCACCGGCTCGTAACCGCTAATAATCACAACCGCATTACTGAGGCGACGGATCACATGATCACGATCAGCTTCTTATTAACCTGTTTAGCGTTTTATTCTAACGGGAGAAGCGCTCACAGCTGCACGATCCGTCTTAAAGAGACAAAGAGAAAGATCTCCTTGGTCCCCTCGTAACAACTGTAACACATGTGTCTCCATGAATATAAATCTGTGTGTACGTGTTTTGTAGATATATTGTTAACTGAACTCTCGGGGTGAATGTGTTTCAACCTGCACACACTCACTTCTGTCTGTGTGTGTGTCTGTGTGTGATCATAGGACGCACATCACGACGCCGACGACTCGGCTGGTGACGACGACTTGATGCTGGGATGCACGGTAAGAACCACACACACACACACACACACACACACACACACACACCAAACGGAGGCGGTGCTCCAGATGTTACTCTCTCCTCATGTTTAGTGGCCTCATTCGTAAACACAGCTGTGTGTGTGTGTGTGTGTGTGTGTGTGTGTGTGCGTCCCATCGACCAGCCCTTCCGGTCACCATCACATTGTTGTGTGTGTGTGTGTGTGTGTGTGTGTGTGCGTGCGTGCTGATACACACATCGCCCACTCTGCAGGATGATTGCTGGTATGAAAGCAGCTCGCTGTTAAAACTCGTGAGTCATCCGAAAAAAGAAGGACCTCCTCCCTCGAAGTCGGCGTTTTTTATTTTTGCCGTGAGATGTTGTTGTTTACTCGGCCTCGTCCTCTGCAGGCGGCCGCGTGGTTTCTCTCCCGCTCACCTCCACCTGCACGCGTTCACCAACGTGACCGCTTCGCTCCCTATGAGGCCGCCGGGGAGCGTTCAGCTTCACCTCAACTACAGGGTCTCCCTCGCTGCCAAGTGTGTGTGTGTCTGTGTGTGTGTATGTGTGTGTGTGTGTGTGTGTGTGTGTGTGTGTCTGTGTGTGTGTGTGCGTGTGGGAAGGCACGACTGCTGCAAGCATCGATTTTTAAATGCAGAGGAGATGGCTTATAGATCTGCTGTCTGAGAAGAGCTGAGCTCTCATTACCTCACCCTCCTGAGTGCACACGCACACGCACACACACACGCACACGCACGCACACAGACGCACACAGACACACACACAGACGAGTTCTACGGTAGATGTTAAACATTAGAACATCACATTGTGTGAGGATGAATATCTTAAAAAACTGCCAATGAGTGTTTGACTTTTCCACTGTGTGTGTCTGTGTGTGTGTGTGTGTGTGTGTGTGTGTGTGTCTGTGTGTGTGTGTTGTCTCAGGTTAAATTGGGGTAATGAGGCAGCCTTCTCTCTGTGTCACGGCACTTAAAGCTTAGTGTGTGTGTGTGTGTGTGTGTGTGTGTGTGTGTGTGTGTGTGTGTGTGTGTGTCACTTTAGACTCTGAGCAAAACAGACTTTAACATTAATATTTCATTCAAGCTGCTGTTTTTATCTGTAATACTTGGACACAATGCAAATATTACCCATGAGTCTATTAATGATTTATTACTATGATAATAAAATCTATTGATTAGTGTGTGTGTGTGTGTGTGTGTGTGTGTGTGTGTGTGTGTGTGTGTGTTGACAGATGGTGTCTAATCTTCTTCGACCATCTGGACTGGTTTTCTCTGGTGTCTTTTAAGAGGCTGTTATAATGTTTGGGTTGACACTTCTGTGGTCATTTGTGTGTGTCATGTGTGTGTGTGTGTGTGTGTGTGTGTGTGTGTGTGTGTGTGTGTGCGCACACTCAGGCCTCAACACCTAAAATGGAAACCAGCGCCCCCCCCACGCTGGCTAGAGTGGATATTGACGGATACCGAGAGAGACAGAGAGGGAGAGGAAATATTGATTGATAGGAAGAGGCATTACGCGAGTGTGTGTGTGTGTGTGTGTGTGTGTGTGTGTGTGTGTGTCTGTGTGTGTGTGTGTGTTAGTGAGAGGAGAGGGGAGATTATAAGCGGGAGAGGAAGAAGAAGAAGAAATATTTTGGTGTCCTCCCAGTTTAGTTCTGACATGAACAGTGAGAACATTCCTCTGTGGTAATAGGCGCGCGTGTGTGTGTGTGTGTGTGTGTGTGTGTGTGTGTGTGTGTGTGTGTGACAGCTCTGCTCCTCTGTTGTAAACGGGGCATTGTGGGAATCGGCCTTTGTGAGGTCATGGGTCGATGATGTAATCTGTGTAACCCGGCGCCGCTTTTCCTGAACGCAGAGCTGTGAACCGACCAATCACAGAGCAGCAACACACACACATTGTTTCTTCTCGTCTCTGAAATTATTATTATTTTTTAAGGGTTTTAGTTCGTTGCAATTCTTTTAAACGTATAGTAATATATCTATTTCTTTTTTTACTTTCTGCTTTTAATTTCTTTTTAAAATAAAAACCTTTTTGGTGGGAAATTAGATTAAGTGCATTTTATTTTCCCGTTTTCTATGTTGACAAATGAACTAAGTGAAGGTGATATCTAATATAACGTGTGCAAAAGCATCGTCCTCAACCGCGCAACAAGAACAGCAACACAACACACTGTTGTTCACAGATTAGTGGCTTTAATTAAATTCAGCTTCCTGTTGTTGTGGAAGTAATCAGGAGAGACGTTTCAGTTCCTTTCCTTTCCCCCCCCTCTAATCTCCTCCTTCCTCGTTCCTCTCCCCTCCTCCTTCCTCCCTGTCCTCACATTCCTCTCCTCTCACCTCCTCCTGCCGTCAGGAGGAAGGAATGAAGGGGAGAGGAAGATGAGAGGAGACACCCCCCCCCACACTTGAATGTCCCAAGATGGAATTTAACATGAGGTGAAACCTCATGAAATCATCCCTCCTCCTCTTCCTCCTCTTCCTCTTCCTGTGGACATGAACTCACTCTTCTATTCGTCCATTGCTCTCTTTCCCTTCGTCACCTCTCCTGTCTTTGGTTTTTACCTCTTTCCTTTCCTCTCTCAGTTCCTTTCCTCTCCCCTCGCTCTGTCCTCCCCTCCCCTTTCACCTCCTCCCTCCTCCCCGCGTGTTGTTTGGGTCACAGAGAAGAAGTGATGATTTAAACTTTGTCACGTGTCTAACAGGCAAGCGTGTGTGTGTGTGTGTGTGTGTGTGTGTGGGGGGGGTCAAGGACAGATGTGGGCCTTCCTGTGCAGATGTTGTTGCCAGGGAAACCATGACAGGACATGTTTTAATCGCCTTGTGAACAGCTGGAGGGTTTTCCTGTGTGTGTGTGTGTGTGTGTGTGTGTGTCCCTCTGCACTGTGTGCTCCAATAAGGTCGTCGTTAATCAGTTTGTGACGGCGTTGTGTCGGAAGAGGAGCACGATGAAGACGCTTTTATTTCACATCCTGAACAGGCCGTTTCAGGTACAGTCTACACACACACACACACACACACACACACACACACACACACACACACACACACACACACACACACACACACACACATAGTTCAGCGACTTGATTGGCAGCAGATGAAATTCTTTGATTTCCTTTAATGAGGAAGAGTTAGAGAATGGAAGGAAGGTGGGAAGAGAGGGAGGGAGGGAGGGAGGGCAAGTAGATCACAGTGTGTGTGTGTGTGTGTGTGTGTAATGGACAGATCACCGTGGTAACGCTGTTGGCATGGCGACACAGTTTTCTGACTTTGCGATGTGTCGCTTTCTCACTCTCTCCGTCTCGTACCGGGTTTAGAAACTCGGGGACCCGAGTTCTTCTTCTTCTACTTCTTCTTCCTCTTCTTCTTCTTCTTCTTCTTCCTCTTCTTCTGTACTTTTTACTCCCACATGTCTACATGTTGTGTTAGCGATCTACTCCACAGTACACATGTCTACGTGTTGTGTTAGCGATCTACTCCACAGGACACATGTCTACATGTTGTGTTAGCGATCTACTCCACAGGACACATGTCTACATGTTGTGTTAGCGATCTACTCCACAGTACACATGTCTACATGTTGTGTTAGCGATCTACTCCACAGTACACATGTCTACATGTTGTGTTAGCGATCTACTCCACAGTACACATGTCTACATGTTGTGTTAGCGATCTACTCCACAGTACACATGTCTACGTGTTGTGTTAGCGATCTACTCCACAGGACACAAAGTCCATGGAAACATTGAGCTTCTGTGTTGTAGAAACTGACCCAGGATCTGATGTTCATGCCTTTTATCTCCCACTCACACAACAGCTCCTTCATACCTTTTGTCTCTAAAGGAGATGTTTCTCCTTGATCTCCAGTGTGTACCTCTGTGTAACAACACACCCGTGTGTGTGTGTGTGTGTGTGTGTGTGACGAGCTGTGATTGAGGATCTTGTCTTGCCAGCTCTTAAATAAATGATGATGTCCTTCCTCTGCTCCTGCACATCCATACTTAATCCCTCCCTCTCTCTCCCCCCTCTCCCTGTCTCTCTCTCCCGCCTCTGTCTCTCTCTCCCGCCTCTGTCTCTCTCTCCCGCCTCTCCCTGTCTCTCCCCCCTGTCTCTCATGTCTTTCCTGTCTATAGCTGCAGTAGTATTAGTAGTATCGGTAGTAGTTGTAGTACTAATGGTCTTAGTAGTATTAGGCGTATCGGTTGTAGTAACGGTAGTAGTTGTAGTAGTACAGTTGTAGTATAAGTACCTAAACATGTTGCTGTATTTGTCTCCCTGTGTCTTCTGGATCACTGGACTACATTTCCCAGAGATCACCTGTTTTTGGGGGGTTTTCGTCTGATGATGTTTCTCTTTCTGTAGATGGAGCTGTTTCTCTGTGTGTGTGTGTGTGTGTGTGTGTGTGTGTGTGTGTGTGTGTGTGGAGTCTGAAGTGTTTATAATATGCCTTTCAGTGCCTTTTATGGAGATGTCTCAAAGCGGATCCGACAAGCGATTGCGTGTCTTGTGTGGTATTTGAGCCTCCAGCAAGGCTGACGGAAGGGCTCTTTATAGCCTCTGACGTGAAACATCCCAAGCGTGGGTGTGTGCGTGTATATAGTGTGTGTATGTGTGTGTGTGTGTGTGTGGGGACCATCCGGCCTGTTAATTTGATTGCGTAACAGGCTTAGGGGGGTGCAGATTGTCTGGAATGGCATCTCGCTCAATCCGTGGTAGCTGCTGCCATGGAGAAGCTTTATACACACACACAAACACACACGCACACACATAGCAGGCGTTTAGCACACTCAGACTCACAGCAACACAAAAAATGTAGATTAACAGAATTGTCGGTGTCTCACACACACACACACACACACGTGCACTATAGGGATAAGACTGCATGAGAACAGTGTGGCTGGTTTTATTACTGGAGTCCCACTTGTGTCTATTTTTATTAGCAGAGTTAATAAGGGAAATGCAAGTGGAAACGTGGTGTCACTTTTCCCTCATTTCCTTTATCTGTCTCACACTTACACACACACAGACACACACACTCTTCAATCCATCACTGCAATAAACTTGGTTACCGAGTACTTCTTCCTTTTCAAGCCACACGTGACTCCTGCAGTGATGGTCCTCCTTATTTTATGTTTTATACGTGTTGTATTTCACTTTTCACATTATTTTCTGTCTGAGATTCTTCTTTTCTTAATTGCAGCACTTATCATGTAAATACATCTAAATTTAACCTGAACTTAAATGAAACAGTTTTAAATAATGTCAAATTACAGTTATGAGTAAATCAATTATGACTAACCTATAAATCACTGCAAGAATAACGATTGTACGAACCTTTCACAATAAAAGAATGATTAATTTAGGGTAGTTAGGGAATTTATATTCAATTTAGAACACAACCTTACTCGAAAAAATTGGAAAAACCTGATTTTTTATTAGACTAACTAAAACGTATTTTGAAATCTGTTATAAAAATATTAAAGGATTTCTGATTTTATTTTGAAACTGAATTTACTTTTTATAACATGAAGCAGTGAATCATTTTTGGTACATTTTTCTCTAGTGCGTGTGTGTGTTAGTGTGTGTGTGTGCGCGCGTGCGTGTGTGCGTGCGTGTGTGTGCGCGTGCGTGTGTGTGTGCGTGTGTGTGTGCGTGTGTGTGTGTGTGTGTGCGCGTGCGTGTGTGCGTGTGTGTGTGCCCCGTGCGTGTGTGTGTGTGCACGTGTGTGTGTGTGTGTGTGCGTGCGTGCGCGTGCATACATGTGTGTGCGTGTGTGAGTGTTAAACCAGTGAACACTCACTGAAGGGAAAGCGACAACAGATAGAGAAAATCCAAGAAATGTCACACGTCCTGCAGACACCGCCCTTGTGCGCATTGTATACATTGTGCATCTTGTGTGCAATGTGTTAGGGAGGCGACACGAGGAGGATATGTTATGAAACCGTGTTTGCGTCCGTATTGTGAGAGTGTGCTGCATACACTTTATCGTCTGTGTGTTATATAGCAGATGATAATCTGTGAGTGACAGGTGCTCGTCAGCGGGCGAGTGGGTGTGAACCAGTGGGGGGGGCGTTGGTCCCCGTGGCGTCTTCTCATTGGGGGGGGGGGGGGGGGGGCTGTGTGAGTGTGGGGACACCTGATGGAAACACTGAGTGGAAGGTTACAGCTGCACGGGGGTTAAAGGGGGATCCCGCTTTGGAATCCCCCTCCCCTCTGGGTATCCCCCCCCTCACCCCCCGACACTCACTGGTTTGCTCGTCCGAGTCACTCGCTGCCCTCCCTCGCTCACAGAAGACGCTCCTCGGTAATGGCGCAGGAGGCGAAGCGGGCCGGGTGCTCGGTTGCCGGCCTGGTGGTCCGGGCGCTGAGGAGCCGGCTGAAGGCGCTCCGGAGGCTGCTGCTGCTCCCCCGGGAGCAGAGCGGGAGGAACGGGGGGGGGGGACCGGGAACCATCGGCCCGTCTGTGAGTAGTGTGTGTCTGTGTGTGTGTGTGTGTGTGTGTGTGTGTGTGTGTCTGTGTGTGGGTCTCTTTAGAAAAGGATCTGACAGTCTGCCCCTCTCAGTCCTGCTCCCGGTTCTCCTGCCCCCCCTTTGCTCCAGCAAAAGGTCATCTGGTTCCACCAGACCTGGTGGATCAGGACTACACTGTGCCTGGTTCATAGAGGATCAGGACTACACTGAGCCTGGTTCATAGAGGATCAGGACTCCACTCAGCGTTCATGTTAATTGTATCTGATGATCGTAATGTGTGTAACGTGTGTAACGTGTGACAACATCACTCTGATTCACTGGACTCAGGAGGCCTGTTAATGAGATCTGATGAGGGACAGATGTGCTGCAGGCTCCTCCAGATGTTCTGGTGACATTAACCTCACTGTAGATCACTGTGAGTCACCAAAGAACAGATTAATATATGATGGAGATGGATACAAACGCTAACACGCACAATGATGAGGTGTGTGTGTGTGTGTGTGTGTGTGTGTGTGTGTGTGTGTGTGTGTGTGTGTGTGTGTGTGTTCAGGGTTGGCAGTTTTAATCTGTGATTAAGAGGTGCTACATGAGCATCCTGTCGCTTCAACTGATCTTCCATCTGTGGCCTGACTCTCTCACACACCCACACACACACACACACACACACACACACACACACACACCCCATAATTCATCACTCCTAAGCTCCGCCTCCACTCAAACCCCCCCCCCCCCTCCTCAGACGCTCCTCCTGGCAGAGAACATGCAGCGTAAACTGCTTGTTTGTTTGCACGTGTGGTTGTTTTTGTAGCTCACGTTGTTTCTTGTCGTTTCTATCTGGTGGCCAACGGCGTTAATCTGCTTCCTCAATCTGAGAGATTTACATTCCATGTGAATATTTCTGCTGTTTGCTGTGTATCATCATTATTATTATTAACAATATTGAGCAGTACAAGAATGTTTGATCTCAGTCGACGAACATTTCTTTAGTTTTTCATGCTGAATGATTTATGAGCTCATCTGTGAAGTCAACAAAGACAACATGATACTAGTTAAAAACATTAGTTTTGGTCGAGTAAGAAGCTTCCTGGTAATACTTTTTATACGTATGGGTACTTGTACTGAATTAAAGGATTATAGTATTTGTTCTGCTCCAGAATACGACCTCATTCACAGGAGGAAGAGAGAGGTGCAAACCACAGAGGAGATGTGATAACGGTTCAAATAAAGATTGAAAGGCGAGAAAATAAGAGGGGGGGGGAGGGAGCGAGGGGGGGGGGGGCGCGGGGGGGAGATGTCTCTGAGGGAGAGAGAAAGTGGGAGAGGGAGGGAGGGAGGGAGGGAGAGAGAGAGAGAAGTGCTCCGCCGGCTCCATCCTGTCGCCTCTCAGTCGACCCACAGGAGCATGTTAGCGCCACAGAGCCTCAGCCGGGACTACAGGACCCACAATGCACTGGGACCCACGGCAGTCAGCCGGTCACCCACCTGGGAACCACAGGTACGGAGGAGAGGGGGGGAGGGAGAGAGAGAGAGAGAGAGGGGGGGAAGCGGGAGAAGGAAAGACAAAATGGGTGGACCAAGACGGGAGAAGAGCAGGATGCATTTGGGTGCAGGGCAGAGAGCATCATGGGGATTGTAGTCTTTGTTCACCTGTTGACTTGATGGGATCAGTTGCACCGGTACGCTAACCTTAACGCCTGCAGGCTGTGGAGTTTGGAGGAGGGACGTGTCACACAGTGTGCTGTCACTCAGCTGCAGAGGGGAGCAGGTACCGGCTCCATGACAACTGTGCGTGTGCGTGTGTGCGTGTGTGCGTGTGCGTGTGTGTACGTGATACCCCGCTGAGCGGATGACGAGCGTTCGGCACCCTGCTCAACCTGCTGTGTGATTCACGGAGCCGTGAGGGCCGCAGGGAAACGTCCCCACACTGTTAAGCAGCCTGCGGGGCTGCTTCGGTTCACCTGCTGCGTCAGGAACTGCGTTTCCCACAATGCCCTTCAAAGTAGGAACCGAAGACCCAGAAGACGTGCCTGGACTCGCTTCCGCCTGCTGCTGCTGATGTTGAGCGTAGAATGGAGAATCACACTGCAGTGCATTCTGGGATAGCTCTTCAATTAAGAGTTGCTTGCTTATTATTTATTGGTTGATTAAAAAGGACACATGAGTAAATACGTTTATGGACCTCTGATATTTGGTAGTCCACCTCTTGCTAATCGGACCGTAAGCGATGAAGGACGCACTGAACAGGAAGTCCTGGTTCTGTAAGAACCCAAATGTCCTGTTTAGAGAACGTGCTCCTCTGACAGTGCTAACGATCATGTGTGTGTGTGTGTGTGTGTGTCTGTGTGTGTGTCTGTGTGTTACAGGACGACGTGCCGATCAAGGAGATCAGCATCACTCATCACGTGAAGGAAGGATCGGAAAAGGCCGACCCGCGACAGTTCGAGCTCCGCAAAGTCCTCGGGCAAGGCTCCTTCGGCAAGGTGTGTGTGTGTGTGTGTGTGTGTGTGTGTGTGTGTGTGGTTGGTGGACAACAGGACAGATAGGACGTGGTTTTCCTTTGGCCTCAAAGCCCTGCAATGTTTTCATTTGGAAAAGTGCCTTCGAGAGCCCGTTGCCGTGGAGACGGCGGTCTGAGGGCCCTCCGCGCTCGGCGTCTCTATGAATGAACAATCGGCCTCCGCTTGACTTTGTGTTTTCATTGTAATTTACAAGAGAGGAGAGAAAACAAACAAACAAACAAACACACACATGCGGACGCACACTGAACGGCGCATTTAATAGAGAGGAAATCTTCGATACAGCAGGATGTTTATTTAGTAAATTATAATGTAGAGTCAGACAGACCGTTGAGCAGGGGATGCTTTAGGGCGGGGCTTCACGCTGATTGACAGGTCTCCACCAGAGACGTATACGTCGTCTCTACGCACTCTTCAGTCTGAACATGGTAACTTCCTGTTCGCTTCCTCATTGCTAAAAACAAGATGGCGACAGCTAAAAGGCATCAAAAGGTCAGCCAACCAACCAATGAGTGACTTCCCACCGTCACCATTAATACACCATTAATCCTCTCACACACGTATGCTACATTGATTGACAGTGTGTGTGTGTGTGTGTGTGTTTAGGTCTTCCTGGTGAGGAAGGTCACGGGGCCGGACGCCGGTCAGCTCTACGCCATGAAGGTCCTGAAGAAGGCGACGCTGAAAGGTACAAACAGATCTGCTCGCACAGTATTAACACAACCGGTTGGTTCGGTGTGTCTGGTGGCCGCACGACTCGGAATGTCACGCTTTAACATGAGAGTAGACAGGCGATGGGGTGGAGGGACAGTGGCGTCCTCCATGTTAAGCTGAGGCTGTACGCCACCTGGTGGTGCAGAGGAACACACCACCCTCCGTCATGTTCTCCAGATGGGTTTCATTCTTTTCCCTTTTTTTAAAAACTCTCCTTGCTGATTTTCTTTTCTTCGGAACCGAAATAGAAAAAAGTTGTCGTTTTTTTTGTGTGTCCTCCAGTGCGCGACCGGGTCAGGACGAAGATGGAGAGAGACATCCTGGTGGAGGTCAACCACCCCTTCATCGTCAAGCTGCACTACGGTGAGTCCACCGGCAGCCAATCGGAGCCCTCGGGCCCCTCCCCCTTTTTAGCCGCGGCGCTCACCTGGATCTCTGTTTGCTCCCATCAGCCTTTCAGACGGAGGGGAAGCTCTACCTGATCCTGGACTTCCTCAGAGGAGGAGACCTCTTCACCCGCCTCTCCAAGGAGGTAACTCCTCTTCCTCGGGGGGCATTGAGATCGTACAATATGTTGTGCAGCAGGATGTGCTAAAACAGAGCTTCTCAAAGCTCCTCAAAATTCTCCATTTTCTACTTATACAGACGTTTCCACGGTTACCATGACGACCTGAGTAACCATGGATTCATTTCGCTTTAAAATACTTTTTGTCTTCAACTCTCATATGGACCTATAAGTCACCTGGTTGTTGTTGTTGTTGTTGTTGTTGTTGACAACGCGCTCCACCTGCTGCAGGTGATGTTCACGGAGGAGGACGTGAAGTTCTACCTGGCAGAGCTCGCGCTGGCCCTCGATCACCTGCACGGCCTCGGCATCATTTACAGGGACCTCAAGCCAGAGAAGTAGGAGCTTGTTGACGCGCGCACACACACACACACACACACACACACACACACACACACACACTCATGCGGACATTTTTCCTTTTGAGTACAAATAAAAGCAATTTTCTGTCATTTCAGCATCCTGCTGGATGAGGAGGGACACATCAAGCTGACTGGTGCGTAATGTGACACCGTGTGTGTGTGTGTGTGACACCGTGTGTGTGTGTGTGTGTGTGTGTGTGTGTGTGTACCAGCCGGGGAGGAAGCATTGAGATCATTTGCTTCAGTGAAACTACGTCCGTCATTAAAGTGCAGATAAAATATTAACATAGTTTTATGGTTGAGATTATTTTCAACTATTAACTCTTATTTTTGTTATTAGTTGATTGATTGATGGTGACTTTCACATTATTAACCTTATTACTCATGAATTGTTACATTCTAACTGATACAGTGCACTATTACACTAACATTGGTAACAATATTACAAGCACATTACAATTGATAAAACCATCAGCGATACATAAATCTCGGTGTATCCGTGTGTAAATGTTCTCCTTGGTTCCTCAGACTTCGGCCTCAGCAAGGAGTCGATCGACCACGAGAACAAGGCCTACTCCTTCTGCGGGACGGTGGAGTACATGGCCCCCGAGGTGGTGAACCGCAGGGGCCACACGCACAGCGCCGACTGGTGGTCCTACGGCGTGCTCATGGTGAGAGGGGCTGTGATCGGACCCCAGGCGGCCAATCACAGAGGAGCGTCTGTGATTCACAGGGGAGGAGATGGAGGGGCGCGAGTCTCTGATACAAGAGCTTTAATCATTCCGTGTGCCGTCAGTGACATTTTATCTCTCGCCGTCGGCGTGTTGGTGAAACGTGCACGTGTTGTTGTTCTGCTTCTCAGTTCGAGATGCTGACGGGAACGCTGCCGTTTCAGGGAAAAGACCGGAAAGAGACGATGACCATGATCCTGAAGTAAGACAGTCGACGCCGCTCGTATCCGATCACACGGCAGAGAGCAGGCTCCTCCCCCTCAGCGGGTCGAAGGAGTCCTGCTTCCTGCCTCCTCGCTCTCTGAGGGGGACACGGAGCCCTCGTATCTCACCGCGTTCGGCGTGTTTTTCAGGGCCAAGCTGGGGATGCCACAGTTCTGAGCTCAGAAGCTCAGAGTCTCCTGAGGAACCTTTCAAACGCAATCCGTCCAACAGATTAGGTGACGGTTATTTTATTTTTTATTTTGTACTTTCAGAGTATTAAAACCGATAAAAGAAAAAAAGCACGAATGGCCAGATGTTAAAACAAAGTCGCCGGACTGAAGGCTGCTTGTTTGTTTGTTTACAGGAGCTGGACCGGACGGCGTGGAGGAGATCAAGAGGCACCCGTTCTTCAGCACCATCGACTGGAACGTCAGTGTAGTCCTGATCCTCTATGAACCGGTCTCAGTGTAGTCCTGATCCTCTATGAACCGGTCTCAGTGTGAAATGCTGACATAGAGTTTTTTAAGGTCATTAACGCCCTTCCTCCCACGTAGAAGCTGTTCCGCAGAGAGATTCCTCCTCCTTTCAAACCGGCCTCGGGACGACCTGACGACACCTTCTACTTTGATCCAGAGTTCACAGCCAAAACCCCGAGAGGTACTGTACCTCCTGCTCCTCCTCCTCATCCTCGTCCTCCTTGTCCTCCTCCTGCTGCTCGCCATCATACGTATTTATTTCTTCTCTGTGTTTGTGAGTCAGACTCTCCGGGGGTTCCTCCCAGCGCCAACGCCCATCAGCTGTTCAGGGGGTTCAGTTTCGTGGCGATAACAGAAGAGGACACGCAGCCGATCCCCAGCACGATGGTGCAGGTGCGTCCGCACTTATTAGACACTCAACTAACCTGATTCATAGAGGGACACCTCAGAAAAAACATGTCAAAAAGACGTCTTTGGTAGAGACCTGTCAATCAGCGTGTAGCCCCGCCCTAAAGCGTCCCCTGCTTCGTGGTCTGTTTGACTCTAAATGGACCATCATTCACTAAATGAACCTCATGTTGTATTGAAGAAGATCTGAAACTACAGACTGAGACCATAAACTCATGTTTACATTGTTTACTGAGGGAATAAATCAAGAGAGAAGAAGAGTAATTAGACGTCTATGGGAGCAGAGGAGTCGCCCCCTGCTGGTCACTACAGAGAAGTAGAGTCATTTCCTCATAGACGTCTATGGGGGCAGAGGAGTCGCCCCCTGCTGGTCACTACAGAGAAGTAGAGTCATTTCCTCATAGACGTCTATGGGGGCAGAGAATTCCCCCCTTGCTGGTCACTACAGAGAAGTAGAGTCATTTCCTCATAGACGTCTATGGGAAGCAGAGGAGTCGCCCCTTGCTGGTCACTACAGAAGAAGTAGAGTCATTTCCTCATAGACGTCTAGAGAGCAGAGAAGTCGCCCCCTGCTGGTCACTACAGAGAATGCAGCCTCAAGGCTTCACCTGGATAAAAGGCTCAAAGGAGGAGAGAAAGTGGTTGTCGCCCCCCCCCCCCCCAAAAGATTGCGTCCCTTACGATCTCAAATTAATACAACAACCATAAAAGTTTGAACCACTCGATCTCGACTGCGGTCGCCATCGCCCCCCCCCCTGACCTCCGTCTCTCCGCCTGCAGCAGCTCCACAGAAGCACGTCGCAGTTCTCGGACGCTTACGACATCAAAGAGGACATCGGCGTCGGCTCGTACTCCGTCTGCAAGCGCGCCGTGCACAAAGGGAGCGGCATGGAGTACGCCGTCAAGGTAGGAACGCCACCGAGTCCCTGAGGTTTTAATGCCCCCCCCCCCCCTCCACCCCAGTGAATTTCACCCACACTTGTCTGCAGATCATCAGCAAGACCAAGAAGGACCCGACGGAGGAGGTGGAGATCCTGCTGAGATACGGACAGCATCCCAACATCATCACCCTCAAGGACGTGAGTCACGTTCCCCATCGCAAACGCAGCGCTTTTATTCTGAAAACCAGCTGATCGATTGATCCCTCAGGTGTACGACGACGGCCGCTCCGTCTTCCTGGTGACGGAGCTCATGAAGGGAGGAGAGCTGCTGGACAAAATCCTGCGGCAGAAGTTTTTCTCTGAGCGGGAGGCCAGCGCCGTCCTCTACACCATCACCAAGACGCTGGAGTACCTGCACGTACAGGGGGTACGTCTCTCGATATTCAGACTCTTTTTCAGAAGCACGGAAGCCCCTCATTTTAAAGCCCCGCCCCTTCCTGTCCGGCAGGTGGTGCACCGAGACCTGAAGCCCAGCAACATCCTCTACGTGGACGAGAGCGGGAACGCCGAGTCCATCAGGATCTGCGACTTCGGCTTCGCCAAACAGCTGCGGGCGGAGAACGGGCTGCTGATGACGCCGTGCTACACTGCCAACTTCGTGGCCCCGGAGGTGACCTTTGACCTCCTCATATGTGTGATTGGTCTCTGGCCTGTAAAACAAAACCAAACAGAACTCTGGAGAAGTAAATGTGGCAATGAGATGTTCAGCATCATTCTCATTGTTATTGTTATTATCAGCGTGAGAAGACGTCTCTCTTTTCATTATTGAGGATTGATTCATTTTAAACCTTGATGCGCTGGATTAGAGCGGAATTAGAGGTCGGATGGAGCAGGATGAGCTCTGTGGTTCCTCACATCAGGAGCCTCATCCTCCTCGTGTCCTCCTCAGGTCCTGAAGAAGCAGGGCTACGACGCAGCCTGTGACATCTGGAGTCTGGGAGTGCTGCTGTACACCATGCTGACGGGGTAGGAGCTCTTCCAGATGTTGTCACACGGTTATCAGATAAGGTGCCCAGATGTTAACGATGACGGTTCCCTCCTCCAGCTTCACTCCCTTCGCCAACGGGCCGGAGGACACACCCGAGGAGATCCTGGCTCGCATCGGCAGCGGGAAGTTCTCCCTGAGCGGCGGATACTGGACCTCCGTCTCCGCAGAGGCCAAGGTGTGACCTCTGACCTCTGACCCCATCTTCACTCGCTTCCCTTCGCTGCTTTAGCTCAGGGATGATGATGACATCATTCAGGCTCCTGTTGTTCATCTTTAAACCCTAAACTGACTTCAGATCAGCTGCGGATATCCAAGAAGTCGATACCTTAAAAACAAGAGGGAAATGTTCCTCTCAGCCGGTCTGATCACATGATCCTCCTGTCTCTCTCATTCAAGATGCTTAAGTGGTATTTTTTATTTTATTAACTTCTGTCCAAAGGAACGAACACGCGTGTCTTCAATAACAAACAACAGACCTGAGTACAAAAGGATCCCTGAACTCACTTGTGACCTCTGACCCCCTCCCCCAGGACCTGGTGTCCAAGATGCTCCACGTGGACCCCCATCGGCGGCTGACGGCTGGTCAGGTCCTGAGACACCCGTGGGTGACGCACCGAGACCAGCTGCCCAAATACACCCTCAACAGACAGGACGCCCCACACCTGGTCAAGGTACACACGCACACACACGCACACACGTGTATAACAAGCATGCAGCGCCTTAATGCCTTACGTTGATTGGCGGGTCCCCTGCAGGGAGCGATGGCCGCCACCTACTCGGCCCTCAACAGGAATGTCCCCCCCGTGCTGGAGCCGGTGGGCTGCTCCACTCTGGCCCAGAGGAGGGGTCTGAAGAAGATCACCTCCACCGCTCTGTGACCTCTGACCCCTCCCTCAATGTGACCTCCTTCTCCTGGCTGTGGTCCGGTCCGGAGGGGGACAGACTACTACTGATAGAACCGCTAAACGCCAAATAGGAACACAAAGACCCCCCCCCCCCCGCATTGCACCTCAACGGACTCTTCTGATTGGCTGGTTATCTCTCAGCTAAAAACATGTTCCTGTCTATGCTCGGGACAATCAAAGCCCTGCGGCCTGGGGAGGGAGGGAGGCTTGTATCCTGCCACAGGGACACGTTAATCTCATGTTTGCATTTAAAGCTGCAGGTCGCTGTATTTAAACCTCAAGTAGCCTCTGACATTAACGAGCATCTAACAACATTTTTATGTTTTACAGGCATAAAGAAAAGTCTTTAGGGAGCTCTTATTTTGTAGAGACTTCCTGCGATCCAGTATTTTTACCTTCCGGTGACAAAAAAAACACAGAGAACAAAAATCAATCAAGCTTTTCGTCCTGATCAGTTTCAATTTAACTCAAAGAAACCGAGTGAAACAAATAGATCCCTGACTGTAAGTTATGAATATTTTCCCGTGTGTGTGAGACAAAACCTGGGAGAACGATTCTTAATTTGCCTCGTTGAAACATTTCGGGGATTCACCTGAGCACAAATGTGAACAAAATCCGCCTTTTCTGTTTCCCGTTATTCATTTTAAAGCTGCACAAGATGCTGAAACGTGTTCGTTTTCTTATTTGACTTTATAATCCTGCAATAGATTTATGCAACAAAAAGTACTCAGCTGTTACTATAACGTAGAAGTAGCAGTTTTCTAAATATTAGTATTTGTTATGCAGAATGACCACCTCTACCGGATAATAGTGATAAATACATTGATGTTAATATCAATGCAATACAAGTATTCCTCACGTCCTTTTGTTCACTTTTCCATAAACACAGCAAAGTAAAATGTGGTACAAAGTAGTGGAAACCTTCAAATAAAGTACAAGCATAACCAGTAGTACTCGGCCCAAAGGCTTAAAGCCATGAAACAGGAAGTTGTGTTATTTTTAGGATTCTTGTGCAGCTTCAACGTGACTCAAACTCCTCGAGGAGAACGTCCACATTTTGCACAACGAACAACCGAGTCTTCTTCTCGAGGGCCCCCATGTTGTGTTTTTTTTATTCCGGCGGTGTCCCCGGTTACCCCCGGTTACCCCCGGTTACCGGTCGAGCTTCCTGCTTCCACAAAAAAAAAAAAACGACCGACCGTCTCCGTCTGCAGCGGACGGGACGGAGGAACTGTAAATATGTCTCCATGTACGAGCAACTCAGGTTTCTATGAATCAAGACAATGCATTTATACACACACACGTGTGTACACACCATATATACAAACATATATGGCATGTACACATGCATGTGTGTATCCAGGAGGAGAGAGGTGTACATAGAATATGCACAAAGGAGAGAGGAGATGTTCATCAGTCACGCAAAATACATATGGCTCTATATAGATCTATGTATCTCTCTCTATATAGACAGAGATATAGATCTATGTATCTCTCTCTATATAGACAGATATATAGATCTATGTATCTCTCTCTATATAGACAGATATATAGATCTATGTATCTCTCTCTATATAGACAGATATATAGATCTATGTATCTCTCTCTATATAGACAGAGATATAGATCTATGTATCTCTCTCTATATAGACAGAGATATAGATCTATGTATCTCTCTCTATATAGACAGATATATAGATCTATGTATCTCTCTCTATATAGACAGATATATAGATCTATGTATCTCTCTCTATATAGACAGATATATAGATCTATGTATCTCTCTCTATATAGACAGATATATAGATCTATGTATCTCTCTATATAGACAGAGATTATAGATCTATGTATCTCTGTCTATATAGACAGAGATTATAGATCTATGTATCTCTCTCTATATAGACAGAGATTATAGATCTATGTATCTCTCTCTATATAGACAGAGATTATAGATCTATGTATCTCTGTCTATATAGACAGAGATTATAGATCTATGTATCTCTGTCTATATAGACAGAGATATATAGATATATGAGTATCAGAACCCTTTAAATCAAAGTATAGCAGGGAGAGGAAAACACATTTAAGGAGTATTCAAAACTACTTTGATGTGTTACTCAAATACTAAAGGGTCAGTTCACCAATATTGAACACTACGTTTCCCACAATGCAACGGCGTCTTTCAGCGAGCGCTCTGACTGCCTCACGTCTTCCAAATTGCTCTCCAACACTTTGTGAGAGTTTTGTTATCTGGAGGTTTCATCCGGTCACTTTTCTTTCACAGAATAGCAGGACGCGCTAACTAGCGACTAGCTGGCTGGTTAGCTGGCGGCTAGCAGGCTGGTTAGCGAGCTTGCTAATCACCAGGGATGATAAAACCGCCATAAAAGCTTTTAGTGTCGTAGCCTCAATAATCAATCAAGCCTGGAAATAACGACATCATTCGGTAATAAATAAATATCCTCCAAAGCAAAATGACCATTTGAAACAAAGTAAATATGATAAACCTTGATTTATTATTGTAAATGTTTTCCTTCTGTTAAACCTACTTTAGATTTATCATTTAAAATGTTCCCTGTGTTTTGGTGACCTGTCCCTTTTAATCCCAACAGTCAGGATATTGATCATCGCTGATGGTGACATGCTGATAGGATATTGATCACTGATTGTGACATGCTGATAGGATATTGATCACTGATGGTGACATGCTGATAGGATATTGATTATCGCTGATGGTGACATGCTGATAGGATATTGATTATCGCTGATGGTGACATGCTGATAGGATATTGATTATCGCTGATGGTGACATGCTGATAGGATATTGATTATCACTCCTTGATGACATGTTGATAGACTGCCGACAATCAGATAACATTGATAAACATCTCTCTCCTCTTCCTGTAAACCAGTTGTAAACAAACTGCTTCCTGCCGGCGGCGTCAGAACGTCCGTCAACATAAAGGGAACTTTTAGCGCTCTGAGATGGTCTTTGTTTTATATGAAATGAATATATATATATGAGGAATGTAAAAGGATTTGTGTTTTTCTGTGAAACTGGGGAATAGCTTTTCTTCTTCTTCTCTGCTCCCGCGTTGCTGCTGCGCCAGCTCTCTGTTTTTGTACCAGAGCCAGGTGGACTTTCTATTAAAAACAATAAAAAGGACGATCAGCTGACTTTCTGCTTCTTTAAGATTTACACTCTTTCCTTTAGATTAAGAGCAACAAATAATGTTTTTGTTTTCTCGCAAAAAAACTTCACCTGAAAGGACTGAAGTATGATATTTGTTAAAATTACCCATAACGTCACAAGTGCTGTTTTTAAAAAGTACAATAACAGAAGTATAAAGTAGCAGAACATGGAATTGTGATTGCAATCAGAAATGATCAATAAGCATAAAACCCAGAAACCAGATTAGGGTCTGAATACTTGGATGTGGATTAATGTTATATATTGGGGCTGTATGCATTAAGAGTAAGCAGTTGTTTCAGATTTATAGATGAAAATATGAACTTCTTTAAGGTTTCTTCATCATTACATGTCATTTAGCTGACATTTTTAACCCATGGTTTTCCTACATTTTGCCCGGGGAGCAGTTAGAGGTCGGGTGTCTTGCTCAGGGGCACTTTTATGTGACGTGGAGCAGCCGGGGTTCGAACCGCCGGCACACCCGCTCTACTCCACGCGCCACAGTCACCCCAAAACATTGGCGCCGGTATCTGATAATATAAATGAATATGATGGTTTGAAGCGAACTGCTGGAAAATAAACCTGAATTCTGTAAAATAACACAAAGAAAAATAGATTTTTATATTTTTTTTTATTTCACAAAATTTAAAAAAAAAACTTTAGTACGCAGTAAAATAAATTCTACAGCAAACAAGAGAAAATCCATACAACAAATATTTTCTTTTTTCATCAGAAAACACGCAGTTCATCTGTGTTTCTGCAAGAAATTGTTTGAGTTTCCTCTTCTACAGTTTAAATGGTTGAAAAGGAAAAAAACAAAACTGTATTTTAGAGTAAAATGAAATAAACACCTGAATCACAATGCATTTTTTTCTATTCGATTCACATGATCGTTTTTTAAAATTGAAATCACCACAATGAACATTTTGTGCTCGTTGTTTATCTTTTAAGTCGTATTTGATCACCCGAATCTTAATTTGTGGAGGAAAAACGTGTTTAAAATGAACTGAACACAAAAACTAAAGAGTGACGTCACCGTTTCCCAGAAGCACCTGAACGCCCCAAATCGGCAGATCCTTCAGTTCTCATTTTCATCTCTGAAAGAAAGAACTGGAGGTAAATACGGAACTATTCTGTTAAATTAAACTTTTTAAAAAGACCCAGGTTGATTAAAAATGTAAAATAACTATTTCTTCCTCACTGGTGTTCGGAGCAGAGCGTTAATTTGGTAAAGAAAGAGAGCGGAGCGCCTCCCCCCGGAGGAGCCCCACGCGTCAGAAGTCTGAGTCGTCTGTGGCAGAGTTGTCTGGGTTGGCGGAGACCCCGAGTGTCTGAGGGGGGGCTTCGCTCGGAGCCGCCTCTTGCTGCTGCTGCTGCTTCCGGTCGTGGTTGCGGATGTGCACGAGCAGCCCCCGCTCCGTCATCTCGTAGATCCGACACCTGGTGCAGAAGAACGGCGTCACGCCGACGTGCCGGAACTGATCGGCCAGGTAGGAGGCGAGCGACGTGAAGCCCTTGTTGCAGATGTCGCAGCGGGGGACCACGCCCGGGTGCTGCTGCTCCAGGTGCCTCCTCAGGCCCCACTTCGACCCCTTGTACCCCTCCTCCGCCGGCGGGCAGAGGAGGCAGGAGAACACGGCGCTCTGGTTGGCGTGCCGCTTGGTGTGGGCGTCCAGCTCCACCTGCGTGCGGACCTTGTGCTTGCAAGTGGCGCAGAAGAAGGTCTTCTTCCCCTCCAGCAGGTGGAGGTGCTTCAGGTGGACGGCCAACCCGGAGGCCCGCTTGAAGGAGCGGCCGGGCGGGGGGCACAGCGTGCACACCAGCGGGCGCCCATCCAAGGCCAGGTTCCCAATGTAGTCCTCCCCGAGCTCCAGCACGCACTTGTTGCTCCCCAGCGGCTCCGCCTCCTGCTGCCGCCTCCTCACCTCCTCCTCCTCCTCCTCTCGGGCCCTCGGCTTCCTCTTCTGCCTCGGCCTCCGGGACAGCTTGGCGGGCGAAGGAGCAGTGGCGTCCACGCCGGGCCGGGTGTTTGAGCGCCGGCTTCCTGGCCGGGGAGCGGGCCGGGTCCACCGACATGCTGAACTGGTAGCTCTCGCCGTCCTCTTCGGGGGTTTGAATACTCGATGACGTAAACGCCGCCGCCGTCCTCCTCCTCACCTCTTCCTCTCCTACTGCCTCCTCTCCCCCCCGGGGGGCACGGAAGAACTCCATCTCGTAGCACGCCGCGGCGGCTTTCCCCCTCCCGCCGTTGTGAAATTGCTCCTGTGCGATGTGCGTGTCGTCGATCCTCACCACCGTGATCTGGTCCATCCCGGTCGCGGGGCCCCAGGCGACGCCTGGGCACCAACGATATATGTTAGATCAATGCTGTGCAATGTGTACCGATCATATGTCAAGAGCTCCAGACTCACTTACAGCAAACACAACAAACAGCCTCACTTGAACAAAAAACAATGGCAAATATTTTAAGAAGTTAAAACTAATTAAAAGCACTGCTTGGAGGTTTATAGTCCGCAAACTATGCTCTAAATATCTGATGTTACGTAACTTTACATATATGATATATGCAGATGTGCACTTCAATATTGCAGGTGGTAAAATAGAGCTAATTTGAATACCTTTTATAATGTGTAAAAAGAGAATCAGCATCATACTTTATTTATCAATAATATAAATGTTAACCATGGTAATATGTGGTTTAGTACAACATTTCCCTGAAGCAACACGAAAAGAAGAAGTACAAATACTTGAGTCAGTTTCCCCGCAGCGCACCGCGTCCACTCACCATGAAGTCAGCCATCGCAGCCGAACCTCGTTGACCTGGTTAGCTGGAAAACACCACTGCAGCTAGCTTAGCAACCAGCCGGCTAACGCTTCCCGCGGGAAATAAGTATATTATTCGAACTTTGCACCGCGCGGCTGTCGATCGGTGGTAAACGCTAGTGTTGTTACCTCCCACCCTTCTGCTTCGAAGCTTGTGTCGAAACATGAACCAGTGCAGGGCGAAGCAAATGTATCGGTGCTCGGTTCGTTCGCTGCTGATCACGTGATCAGTGACGTCCGAAGCTTCGCTCCGGCTCAGTGACGTCATCAGTGACGTCCGAAGCTTCGTTCCGGCGCACAGTCACGTGACAGCTTCGAATTGATTCAAATGGGCGCGAAACAGGGTCGGGGCGTGTCTGTTTGATACAGTCAAAGTCAGTGTTGTTGTAGTATTAGCAAATTTACAATGGAACCTGTGGCAAAGAGAGGTCGCTCCGAGATGTGGGAGCAATTTGATTTCCTCTAACAAGGTTTGTAATAGGCAGACAAAGTCTGTCATTTGTATTGTGTAATTATGGATGTTTATTTTTATTGTGGAGACCACCAGATATTTGGCTGAATCAAACATTCCACGGAGTGAAGACCCGCTAAAATATTGGATCTTCTCACAAACCTGTGTACCCACATCTATTTGTATTAGCACGTAATCTTATGAGCATTCCTGCCTCATCGTGTCGTGTAAGCGCCTTTTTTTGTAAGGCAGGGGAAATAGTATCTAAGAAACCGACTCAACCCCAATTCTGTATAAATATATATAATAATATATAAATATATATATATATATATATTTATATAAATATATAAATATATATATATATATATAAATATATATATATTATATTATATATTTTTATATATATATAATATATATAAAAATAAAAAATATATATATAATCTTCTATTATATATATTATATATCTTCTATCTATCTCTATCTAGAGATTGGGCCAAAATATACTGGTGGGCTATTCGATACATTTGCACTACAAGTTTTCAACAGCAGAGGTCATCATAGAGTTTGCGATGCATTGAATGAATGAACCTTTTTCCGATACAATTGGCTGGAAAGCTTCACTGGTTCAGAAAGCTTCACTTTGCCATCACTAGTAAACGCGGAGTTGGAACCCAAATGTGGCTCTTCGGGGCAGGACGAGGTCTCGATCTGTGCCTCGGGTAACCCCCAAAATATGTTTTAAAAAAAATCCTGGGGGAAATAATAACATCAACAGCGCGCGGGAGCGACTTCCGCCGCCTGGTGGCGCGGAGGAGCACTGCACCGCCGCTTTTGTTCAATAAACTGTGAACAATAGAAGAGAAGGTTGATAACAAAAGGTTGATAACACTTTTATTCTTAATTATGTGAAAGCGAAACCGTAGTTTTGTGTCATTCCTAACTAGTTCTTGTAGGAAATAGAAAAATATGCTTTACAAAAGATGGAACGGCCTTTGAGTTAGATTTATTTTTCTGTGTTGTTTGCATGCTTCTTTCCAAATTGTTTACACGAGAAATTATTCAATACAATAAAGAAATGGCAGATCATTGTCATTGTAACAATCATCTGTTACAATAAAGCAACGTGCTTTTGAATGTCTTTCTTGGCGCATGCGCAAAGTGGACGACCATCTCATCGGTGACTAGCTAGTTAATCGTAGCGTTTGGTCAGTTTAGATCTGACCGTTGTACACAGTTATTATTTAACCGTGATTTGTTGCTACCAAGCAGGATTAACGTCACCGAGGCGTGAAAGAACATGCCCAAAAATAAAGGTAAGGGACGGAACAAGACCTGCGTTTCGGTGTCGGTAATTATCTTTCGAGCCCGCCGTTAAACACACGCAGTGAAAACGTGACACCGACAAGCTAACGCTAGTTAGCAACTTAAATTATTTTGTTTTTTATTAAACTTTCATTTACACGACATTAAGAACTATTTACCCCGATGTGGGACGTGCCTTCGTGTCACATACACACTTATTGGGAATTCGGCCGAAACAATAATGAAGCTAGTTCGGGCTCGTTCGTGTTTCTAAACACTTTTATACCGGTTAGCCAGCTAACAGCTAGCGTACATAGCAGATTAATGCTATTACTAGCTGATGCAGCTAACTAGCTAACGTTAGTTCCATCTTCAATGGATACCTGACTTGACTTAAGTTAACTGTACCTGGATACTAAACTCATTTAAGGATCTAGTTTTGACGTAAAGGCTCTGGGATGTGTCTCTGATTAGGAAACTAGCAGTTGACTTAGACGTTAGCTTGTCTTCTCGTCATCACCGTTAACATTAATAATATATCTATATTCATCTTCACATTCGTTTACAAAAGATACACACCTTACACATACTGGAGTACAACTCCAATAACTGCATTTTAAAGGCATGTCAATATTAACCATCAAAATGTTACTTCTGACTCACACTCATGTGAAACAACAATAATTAATGTGTAGTTTACTATAATAAGATCTCAATGCGTCACTTTAGTTTGAAAATAGTTCTGGAATATATTTCGGATATGTTTTTAATGAATAATGCATTTTTGAGGCAAACTCAACAAATAATTGCATTTTTATTTATGCATTTATTTGTTAATCTCAGTTGCCAAGTATACCAAATATTTTATTGTTTTGCTAATGTTTGTATTTTATGTCTTAAGTTGCTTTAGCAAAGACTTGATTAACACCACTTTTGACTAACACTACATTGGAAAAAAGGTCATATAATGCTTATCAGATGTTGAAAGGAAGTCATATGCACTAGTGGAGTATTTTTCTGATTCTGCTTGCACTTGGACAGCATTTTAGTTAAAATGTATATTAATACAGACTATTTTTCTATTATATATTTTATAGTTTGTACTCTCGTATCGACATAAATCAAGATTTTACTGTTGCAGTATGTGTCAATTTCTGCACATTAATTGATTGGTGTTTCGGTTCTACGCTTATACTGGTACTATAAACTGGTGAATAATGACATTTACAACAAGAAATGTTTCAAGCGTTTATTATATTTTGAATGCATAAATCATCATTTATGATGTAACTAAAGTTGTCCAATTAAAAACATTTACACTACTCAAGTAAATCTCCTTTATAATATTTTAATTGAATGTTGATAAGCATTTACTGTAGTAAACACTGGAGTGTATCTAACCGATTCGCTCCGAAGGAACTGAAATGAACCGACGTGTTCCTCTGTGTCCGTAGGAAAGGGAGGAAAGAATCGTCGACGTGGAAAGAACGAGAATGAGTCTGAGAAGAGGGAGCTGGTGTTCAAAGAGGACGGACAGGGTGAGTTCTGGTCCTCAGCTGATCAGGAGAGAAACGTTTTCCCCCCCATACGTTAACCGAAGATCCGTCTGGCTGCTGGGAATAGTTAGTTTATGATAGTTCAATAAACACACGCGTGACAAGCTGTGAAACCAGAGAAAACATCACCGGTGAATGAAGCTTAAACCCTTTAATTAAATAATTAATTAAAATGATTTATACCAAGAAGGGAAAAAATATCTGTCTTGTGTTTTCTTTTTTCTTTTTTGAAAGTAAACTGAATGACTTGAAGACTTCAGCTTTGAGAAATCAGCTCAACGAAAAGCACTGAATCGGTTGATTGATTATGAGAATAACGGTTTGTTGTAATTGGTCCGGCTGCAGCGGTTACACCACAAAGTTATTATTGCTGATTCTCCTTTGTGGCTGGTCTCAGCAGGCTAATCAGCAGGTTAGGAGAAGAGTTATTTTTAAGACAACGGATAATAAAACGTAAACATGTAGAATCGGCTCACGTTTAAAGATCACAGAAACCTGTTTGAAGAAGAGTACTTTTATTTTGACGTGGCAGAAGCATCTGCCTGCAGAGCTCGGCGCTGCCAGAATCCCGTTGTCGCGGCAACGAGCCCAGCGGCTTTGTCGCCATAAGAAGCCTGTTCCACTGGTGAAGGGTTCCTCTAATGCAGGGGGGGAAATCTTCATGAATTGTGTGTGCGCGCACGTTTGTGTATATATAATATTTCACCTTTACCGTTGGACTAAATGCGATTTTAAACCCACCTTTTTTTTATTAAAATTGTAATAATTTCAGACATCAGTATGTTTTTATTTTATGTGAGGTTGTCCACTTGTATTCAGTTGTTAAATGTATTTTATTTGATATATGATCAGTCGTAGCATGGAACTTTTTGTGTTTACATTAAGTCTGCTGTGAATGTCTCTGTTCACCTCATATGAACCTCTCCTCGGCCCTTGTCTCCTCTCCTCCACTGTCTCCCCTCCCAGAATATGCCCAGGTGATAAAGATGCTGGGCAACGGCCGTCTGGAGGCCATGTGCTTTGACGGGACCAAGCGGCTTTGCCACATCAGAGGAAAACTCCGGAAAAAAGTAGGAGAATCCACCTTTTCTCTTCCACCTCCGACCAGCACACAGGGAAAACCTCCCGACGCAGTGCTGAGTCGGCGTGTTCTCAATGGAGTGTTCAGCGTGCTGCTGTGTGACGCAGAGATAACATCTCCCGTCTCTGTTGTAGGTTTGGATCAACACGTCAGACATCATCCTGGTCGGACTCAGGGATTACCAGGTGAGTGTAGTAGTGACCAGCTTGTGCACCAACGGAGCGGTACATCCCATCATGCATTGCGCTGAAGGACTTTACTTTTGTTCCTGTCATTCTTATTATTTAGACATCATGTCTCTCATAGCTAAAACATTTTTCTGATCACCAGCTTCATTTCAATAATTGTTAATTTAAACTTTTTCTTTTACCAAATTAACGCTCTGCTTCCGTTCCAGGACAACAAAGCCGACGTCATCCTGAAGTACAACGCGGACGAGGCTCGCAGCTTGAAGGCGTACGGAGAGCTGCCCGAGCACGGTGAGTCGCGGCGGCGTGGAATACGGCTCGTAGAGCGTGTGTGGATCTCCGTGTGCGCAAAGGGTGCTCACGTGTTCATTTACCCGCAAAGGGAGCGGCACCGTCCCTCACACGTGACTAACGGTCCGCTGCTTTCCTCCTCGCAGCCAAAATCAACGAGACGGACACCTTCGGGCCCGGAGACGACGACGAGATCCAGTTTGATGACATCGGGGACGACGACGAAGACATTGATGATGTAAGCTGTGTTTTTACTTCAGTATCCACTCAAATAGTTTTACTTTTAAACCCTGAACTTGTTTTTCAAAAGAAGAACTGAGACACCAAATATTGTCTGTTACTCTGAAGCAGCTGTAGGAAAACTGCCACATTTACATTTAATCCATATTATCTGACAAATGAAACATTCCCAAAAATATTCAAACCACTTTGAAGTCCCTTTTATAGCCACAAATGTTCCAAATGTGATACAACTGCAAAAATGTGAGTCTAAAGAACCTGTTTCCTCTGTATTCTCCAGATCTAAAGACCTGCTGCTGAAGGGGGGGTTGGGGGGGTTTACCAGAGAAGCTCCCGTTGGATTGTTTAGAGCCGGTGCGCCGCGACCGATGACCATTATTTCTTATTAAGATCAGCCTGCCAGTGTGGAAGCATCAGCCGGCGCTTTGTTCCTCTCGCTGAGTGCACGAGAAGGAAAAGGAGACTCTGTCCATGGTTTGGATGGAGGATCGGGAGCAGGCTGATTGTATTCAGGGTGACCACCCGGACGTGTCGCTCCATTTCCACCTTTTTTATTTCGTTTTTCTGCTTCTAACATCAACAAAATTTCTCACCTTTATTTTTTTTTCTTCATCGGAGACGGGCGCAGTATCAAGGAACATCTTTTAACGTTTAGAGGAGTCACACCGAGGCCGGAGAACATCTTTTAACAATGTATTTATATTTCACACAGATGTGGAATTTAACAACAAGTACAGAATCTCTGGGTTCGTCAATAAAAAGATAAAACCATGTTTTGTTTTTCTTTTGTACTCACGTGTGGCTCTGCGTCTTTTTGAAGTTGTTTTGAACCGTGACGGTCGATCCGGCTCGCCAAAGGACGGAGAATAGTATGAATCTGAATGTCTTCTTTATGTTTTTTCTGTTGATCTCTCGGCTCACCGTCTCTTTGGACCGTTGGTTCCCAAACACCCCCCCCGACCCCGACACACACCGGTAACAACCTCACGTCTAGAAAATCAAAATATCAGATATAAAGTAGTTTATTTTTCCTCCCCGCTTCGACTTGCCGTCCCCTGATGGGGCCCTGCACCTCAGTTTGGGAACCTCCGGCCCGCGCGTCGCTGTCACTCTGAATAATGGAAGAAATAAAATGTTCAGTGTTTGAAGGTTGGGTTTCCAATAAAGATCTTAACTGTACTGACCCGGCGTGGTGATTTCACTCAACGTCCTGCGCCGTCTGAAGAGGGCGCCGCTGAGCTGCTGTGGAGAGACTTGTCTCCGTCCTTCGGAGGGGGACAGAAATGACCTTGAGCTGCCGTCTCCGTGTGCTGCTCACTTTTTCCTATTATGGCATTACATCAAATATGTATAGACATTTTTTTAGATAATTGCATATATGTATCTTTTTCAAATTGATGAATACATTGCAGTTTCATCATTTAATAAACTATATAATTTAATAAGTATATTTCCAATGCAAACATTGTACTTGTTAAAGTGGTAATTTCTTCCCTGTAGCGTGTTTTTCAGGTTGTATTTGTTTATAATTACACACACTATGCGGTCGTGATGGTTTTCATGTTTCATGACAATATACATCCAGCGTGGACGTCGGTTGTGTGCGTGCGTGCACGTGACCCACATAGCAGCTCCGTTTTTCTTTAAGTGTGACGTCATTCAGTCGCTGGGGGGTTCGCTTGAGCGCGGGCACGTGCGCTGCTTTACCGTCCGAAGGCACGACGTTCCATCAGCACGTGAGTGAGGGGGTGACACCTTTATTATAAAAGAAAATCGAAATATTTGAGATTATGTTTACCTGAAATGCCCCGTTTACGACCGGTGACATAAATAAATAAAGCAGTGAACAGTGGAAACCATTTGGGGGAAATAAATGTACATTCATTGTGATTAAATCCCTCCGCCAAGCGACGAGCGGCTGGTCGCTAGGCGACGCATGATGGGCGCGAGCGGTGATTTATTTCTTTTGGCGCATTAACATGTAAACCTGTGAGTGACGCGGTCCACAGGACACACACAGTTTACCCGTTAAGGGGGAAATAGAGACATTTAAATCTCTTATGATTTCATTTATTTTTGTAAATGAAAGTCAAACGTTTTCTTTCTTCCGTCTTTTCTCTTGTGCTGTTGATTGACGGTAACACAGTTTTTCAGTGAACACAGCGACATCCTCCTTTAAGGCTGACGTCGTTTCCCTGAGTCACCGCGGGGCAGCGGCGCTCTGCGGCAGCTCGTCTTCACCTCAACGGCCCTCCGGCTCCTGATGACCCACGTGGGTCCGAGCTGCCGCGACATGACAGGTGAGAGGAACACACCTTCTCTCGGCGTATTCCCGGTAAATGCACGCACGCAGTTCCTACCGGACAGGCTGGCTGTTGATGTGACTTCCTGGTAGCAAAGGTACGTTTATATTTAAATGTTCTCCTTGATGCGTCGCTGTCACGTGTCCTGTACATTTAAAATAGCCATGTCACCTCTAAAATAGGAAAGCATCCAGCGTCCTGGTCGTTATATGTTTTATTTCCATTGATCCGCCATTGTTATGTGCGCAGATGAAGCCTTTAAATCTGCCATCTCAAAGTGCATTAAGAGCTTCTGCATTCCTTACGTGTAATAGAAGCCTTGTGAGTAATATTTAAAATAAAATAAATAAATAAATAATGGCGGTCTGCTGCGTACATTTAGTCTTGGATGCAGAATATGTTCTTTTTAGTTGTCTTTTAGTAAGCTATGTGTTCTTTTATGCTCCTAAAAAGGCCTTTTTATTTAACTATTGCATCATTTGTGCAGCACCTTCTTCATCTGACATCAGCTGGAACCACCGATTAAAACATGTGATTCAGCTGATTCGTCTCCTGCACACGATGTCACTTTGGACTGAAGACGAATCAGATTTGCATATATTAGATTATTCAATGTGTGTGTTATTGCAGCTGTGTGCACGCATGCATGCAGGGGGAGGGGGGGGTACGCTCGGGGTCCTGCATGGACAGCTCACGATGACCCCTGACCCCTGAGGCACCATGGGGACATTTATAGCAATCCGACGCCATTTAAAGATGCTCCAGCTTTACATTATTTTTAGATCTGCTGGTGGTGAAGCGTGAATCATGTTATGACTCTTCTCTCTCTTCCCCCTCCCAAAAAAAATCACAGCTTTAGCCCCGCCTCCCGCACCGCTGACCACCAGTAGGAACTCATCTCCCGCTCAATCCCCGACCAATCACAGCAGCCCTCCAGGTACAACGTCTAACAATCGATGATTGTGATAAAGGATGAAGTGTTCCTTCCTGAGGATTGCATGGATGGTGGCGCATGAAGTAGACGCGGTGCGCCCGTAACCGCAGGGTTGGTGGTTTGAACCCTGTGAAGTGTCCCTGAGCAAGACACCTAACCTCTATTATTGTTCCCCGGGCAAAATGTAAAAACCGTAGGTTAAAAAATGCAATGTAAGTTGCTTGGGATTAAAGCGTCCGCTGAGTGACCTGTGATGTAATGTGATGATGGTGATAAACTGAAGGATGAAGAGTTCCTTTATGAGACGATGTTGTGAGATAAGGAATGAAACTAAGATCCCAGTAATCGTTTTATTATATCTATATTTCCAGTACGATGCACCCAGATGTTCCAGATGCTCGCTCCTTGTTGCTGTCCGGGTCCATTTCGTCACGCGTCGTTTAAAACTTGATGTTAAAACCTCACTGGAGGGGTTCATGTGTCAAAAGCAACATTGTAAAGCAGATATACTGTATTATAGCAGATAACTCTGGTGTCTCTGAGGTGTAGTGCGATGTGTAGACAAGAACTCCATTAACCCCCCCTCCCCCCCTCCCTCCCCGTGCTCAGAGAAGGAGGAGGTGCTGCGGGACAAGGAGCGCCGCGCCCAGCAGCAGCTGGACCGCTGCGCCGAGGAGCGAGGGAGGAAGATGGAGGTGCAGAAGAGGAAGGAGCAGCAGCGCCGGGCGGCCGCCGGCGAGAAGAGGCGCCAGCAGCAGGAGGCCGAGAAGGTCAGAGGCCGCGGCGCGTTAACGTAGTGATGTCACAGCTGTGCTTAATGTTCAGAATGCCGAGGACCAAAATTACTGCAGATCTACAAAATGAAGTAAACAAGCTCAAAGATCGAACCAGTGACTTCATGAGATTAATACAAACAAAAATATGGAAACTTGAAAAAAAAAAAAACTAATCCCACCAAAATGTTTACATGCTGAATTTGTAATAAATCATAGTTCCATTAATCATTTGTAGGGTTTGCTGCCACGTGATCACCATGACGATCATAACAATTTATTACACATGTTTTCAGGTGTCAATACACAGAATATATAAATATATCTGATATGAAACATTAATTAGTGCATCACGACAACTTTCTCACGGCTCCTTCCTCTGAAAAATAATAAGTTTGCCTGTTTTTTCTGCCGCAGAATGAAATCCAAAGAGAGTGAATTTATAATCACACATCAGCCAGCGAACGAGGGCATTGATTCTTTCATCCGTTTATTGATTTCTGGGCTAAATCTTCAGGCGTCTCTTTCTGGTTGTGATCTGTAATTATTGGAGCCACTTCATGGTGTTTATACGCTTTTTATTTATTGTTGCCAAAGAGCTCCAATGAACATGATCAATCACAGATTAAATACTCATAGAAATCTCCAGTTTATTGCAGAGAAAATGAGTAAACGGCGGCTCGTCATCCTGCCCCCCCCCCCCCCGATGACCCCCCCGCTCTCTTATTTTAATTCCCTGAACTGCTCTCTGTTTATGCGGTTTGTGCGTGACTCTGCATTCAGCAACCCCCCTTCACCATGCTGAGGTTTCTATCCTCTCTCTATTTATATATATATATATATATTTACACTATATATATATATATATATATATATATATATATATATATATATATGTAAATATGTATGACAAACATACAAGATAAAGAATGTGGTTGTAAATCAAAAAGAAGATCATTTTTGTTATCAATCAATAGGTCAGGAAATGATAAATGTAATATATAAACTCAAGTAAATGAATATTTACTGTATAATATAGTAAAATTACAGGAGAGGACCTTTAAGCGAAGCTTACGTGTGAATCAATAATATTGTGTTGTTGTTGCGGCTTGTGCGTATTTCATATTTTATTACAATGTGTGTGTGACAGATAAAAAACCATTGCAACCATTATCAATATCCAATCCACCAGTCTGTGTGTGGGGGGGGGGGTCTCTGTCCCCTCCCCCCTCACTAAACTGCTCTGTGAGATCGACTGAGAGGGGGAGAGGGCGGGGTGAGCGATATGTGAGGGAGGAGAGGAAGAAAGGGTGAGTCAGTGTTACCTAGAGACAGAGAGAGAGAGATACAGAGCGAGAGAGAGAGGTAGAGATACGGAGAGAGAGAGAGAGGTAGAGATACGGAGAGAGAGAGAGAGAGGTAGAGATACAGAGCGAGAGAGAGAGGTAGAGATACGGAGAGAGAGAGAGAGGTAGAGATACGGAGAGAGAGAGAGAGAGGTAGAGATACGGAGAGAGAGAGAGAGAGGTAGAGATACGGAGAGAGAGAGAGTGTCATGCATCGCTGAGTGACAGCCGAGCCAGCCATCGAGCGTCCGGTTCTCCGCCGGCAGACACACGGGCAAACGCGAGGGTGATGGAGGACGGAGGGGCGAGGCTGCTGCATGCGGTAACCATGGCGCAGCCGTCTCCGTGCGCGTCGCCGGGCACCCGTCGCCGTAGCGATGGTTCGGTAAGAGAGTCTCTGTTCTTCCCCGTTTCCGAACGCAACGAGCAGGAGAGGCTGGAGGCCCTGGTCCGCCGGAGAGCAGGAGGCGCCGAGAGACGAGGAGGAGGAGGGGGAGGAGGAGGGGGAGGAGGAGGGGGGGGAGGCTCGAGACCACCTGGACAACAGGCCTAAGCGCTGGACCTGGGGAGGACCGCCTGACGGAGTGGAGGGTGAGTACTATGATGTCAGTGGTTTGAGAACAGGAGAGCATGATGGGGGCTGGGAGGTGTTATAGTGTGGGGGAGGGGGGGGGGGGTCTGGAGGGTGGAGGGTGGAGGGATGAAAGGGTGGGGAGGACAAAGCGGTGGAGGACGTGTGATACAACAGAAGATGGGTGGAGAAGGACAGTGGAAGGAAAAGGGTGTGGAGGCTGCAATGCAGGAGCTGCTTTGTGTATAAACCTCACAGGGTGAGGACACGCCGTGTGTGTGTGTGTGTCTGTGTGTGTGTGCATTGTGGGTCTATGTTTGCGTCTGTGTGTGTGTCTGTCTGCGTGTCTGT